GCCACCATCAAAGACTTGAAAGATGCAGGGGTGGTAATTCCTACCACATCCCCATTTAACTCGCCTATTTGGCCTGTGAAAAAGACAGATGGATCCTGGAGAATGACAGTGGATTATCGTAAACTTAACCAATAAAACCTCAGTGATGTTTGAACAATTCTTTAAAGCAGGTGATAATCTTTTAAAAAATTTTTTTGTACTTCAAGGTCAAAACAATAGTATATCTTAGATTATCAATTTCTGATGATAAACAGGATAAGAAGCACATTGTCCCATTGATTTCTAACTAACTTCAAGAATGGCTTTGCCTTCTAAATAATTATCTGAAACAAATTAACACAAAGAAAACCCCATTAATCAGCTTTATATTTCTGGTTATTAATTGAATAGATTGCCCCCAAACACATCGTGAATTCTTAGCCTTACATGCCATTGCCAACCACAGAGTGGTTTCCAGGTCAGTTCTACTCAGCCATTTATCTTAGCAAGTGTTCAAGCACCGTTAATTTTCTATTATATTTCCCTAGGTTTCCTGTAAGTATGTACTGGCTTCTTTCCAAAATGCATATAAATATTGTGTACACTCGGAATTATTCTGAACTTCTTGCTTTCATACCATGATCTCAGTCCAGGTCTTTGGATTTGTTTTGTTTTGTTTTTTTAACCACAAAGACAATTGTTAAAAAACAGTCTAGTTTATTGCAGTATTTATTCACATTATTCAACGTCCTTGTCTACTGCTTCCAAGTGTAGGCCAGTAACAATGTTCACTTCATATCAAGTAAGGGAAGCAAATCATTCCCAAGTTAGTGTGGAATTGTTTTTCCTCTCTGCGTGTGCTTGGTCTTTTACAGTGATTCCTTTCTCGGTGTGTGTTTTTGTTTTTAGTGTCATTCTTCCACTTCCTCAGAATGTGAAGGACTACTTACTTGATGATGGAACGCTGGTGGTTTCAGGAAGGTAACGTATATCAGAAAACACCTACCCTCTGAATGTTATCATAAAGGAATGTTGTACTGATTGAATCTCAGCTTGTACCATCTACAATGCATTGCCCCTTAGCTTAGGCACCATTCATTCCCCCGAGGCCTTCCCTTTTTAACTAGCTACAGCCGTGTGCTGATCTTTCTCCCTGGTTTCTACCTGATGCTTACTCAAACATATTTTCAAGACCTGCTATGGTTAGGTGCCGTCCACTCACTTCCGACCCATGCACAGCAGAATGAAACATTGCCCAGTTGGGTTCTGTGCCATCCCCACACTTGTTCCTGCACCTGGGCCCTTGAGAGCCTTCCTCCTTCTCACTGCCCTTCTTCTTTACCAAGCATGACAGTGTCCCCTAGTAGTTACTAGCTGAGAATTTATGCTACTTTAATCTCTGCCTGTAGAAAATGAATATGACAACTTTTCCTCTGGAGGTGCTGGTGGGGAAGCTGTGTTTTAAACCTTTGAAATTCTTTAGTTTTTTAAGATAAAATATCTTCTTTTCATCATAAACTGAAAACTTTACTAGGATTTATCATTTAATTTCTTAAAATTTTGTTCCTTACAATTTACCCCCACCAACATCTACTTTGTTCAGTTAGTTCCTATATTCGTAAATCTTTTTTCCCCCGAGCAAACTTGAAAAAGCTCATGAATTATTGAATTTAATGTTCTCTGCATAATTCTGCTAAAAAGCCAGATAGCTTTTGTGTTCTTCCCTCCTGGTCTTAAAAAAAAAAGCATAATACCCTGTTTCCCCCAAAGTAAGACATCCCCACAAAATAAGACCTACTTACAGTTTTTCCTCTCGCTGAAATATAAGGCATCCCCTCAAAAATAAGACCGCCCTGAACATAAGGCCCCCTGAAGCTACCATAACTCTGGACTCTGGACCGTAGCGGGCGCCACTGCACAGCTCACTGTTGGCTGCAGCGCAGCTGGAGCAGACAGGAAGTTTGAGGTCTCTTTTAATAAAACAATAAATGAGTACCGTATTCTTCTTCATGGAAAAATAAGACATCTCCTGAAAATAAGACCTAGCGCATCTTTGGGAGCAAAAATTAATATAAGACACTGTCTTATTTTCAGGGAAATGGTAGCAATTGTTGCTAGCCCACCATTCTTTATCTCTTTCGTTTACTTTATTTTGCATAGCACCTCATTGGGTTGATGTGAAAATCAAAAGAAAGAATATGCAAGGGACAGTATACTAGCTCAAAGCCTAGTGCATGTTTTAAAAAATATTAACTGCTCACATCATCATCATTACGATTAGTAGGCATGGACATTAAATGAATATACAAGTAAATATATAAGTGAAAAAAATATATATAAGTATCTTGAAGGATATAGACGGTTGGAGTCAACTGACATTAGATCATTGGGCTTCTGGGATTGTAGTCAGTCAGGAAATCCCCTGAAGTAATGTTTTTGTCTCTGAGATAGAAAGGTTGAGTGACGTCAGTTGAAGAACGTTGAGGTTAAGAAACTGGCAGGCTGACAGAATAACATTAACAAAGGCTCATAGGCATGTAAGCTCATGACATACTCCAGAAATAGAGTATCCTCTTGCTTGGAGCTTTGGTGGACTAGTGGTTATGTGTTGGGCTGCTAGCCATGTGGTTAGCAGTTGAAAACCACCAGCCATTCACTCCATGGGAGAAAGTTTATGTACATAACTCATAAAGAGTTACAGTTTTGGAAACCCACAGATGCAGTTCTACCCTGTCCTATATGATTGCTGTGAGTCACTAGCCTCTCGGTGGCAGTGAGGTGGGTTGGTTGGCTGGTTGTTGCTGAAACCTGTGGGTCCTTGTCTTACTTTATCAACCAATTGAAATAAAGCCCACACTCTGTGCAAAAGAAGCAGAAAGGGATTTTATTGTCTGTGCAGACAAGGAGCAGCATGAGGTCTGTGACTGAAATGGCATGTGCCCCCCAAATAGGCACCTGGCCCTTTAACTCTGCTGGCTTCTGGGATTCTGTTTCCCTCCCATTTCTGCCATCAATGGAGGTCTGGTTGGTGAATCGTGTTACCCTGGCTATTCACTAGAGAAATAGGCTGGGGTAGAACAGTGGGTCACAAGAGTCCTGGGCCAGGGTGGGGTGAGGGATGAATGGGTGGAGGAGGAGTCACGGTAAAGGGATCTTGGTCTCAGGTTTCAGTTTGACTGAGGCATTGAGCCTTTGAGTGGAGAGGTGGTAAGAAGGGGGAGGTGGTTTGCATTCTGAAAAGGTTAAGAGTATTGGGGAGTGGTTCAAGTTAACAAGCTTAGAATGTATTCTGAGGAAAATAGTAAGATAGGGTAAAGATCTTAGCAAGTGACTTGACTGACATTTGGTTGCAGCATGTGATGGATTATTTTGGAGAAACCGGAGGCGCCTTAAGAAGACTCATATTGGCCCAGAGGAGACTACTAGTAGTTTGAACAAAGATGATGGATATGAAAGTAGCAGAGAAGTGAATGGATTTGAGATATTTTTTGATGATGGCAAGGGAAGTGTCAAGAATTAGTCTCAGATTTCTGATTGAGCATTTGGGTGAATAAAAATGTCGTTTATTGAGACTGAGAAGAGTTTTATTTGAAACAAGGTACTAGTTTTGGATTGAAGCAGTCTTATAGGTAAAAACTTGAAAATTGTAGGTATAATTTAGATGAGGTATATATATATATTTTTTTTTTTTTTTAAATCATTTTATTCAGGGCTCGTACAACTCTTATCACAATTCATACATCCAGCCATTGTGTCAAGCACATTTGTACATCTGTTGCCATCATCATTCTCAAAACATTTTCTTTCTACTTGAGCCCTTGGTATCAGCTCCTCATTTTTTCCCCTCCTCACTCCCCCCCCCCATGAACCCTTGATAATTTATAACTTATTATTATTTTGTAAGGCCTTACACTGCCTGATGTCTCCCTTCACCCACTTTTCTGTTGTCCGTCCCCCAGGGAGGGCGTTATATGTAGATCCTTGTGATCAGTTCCCCCTCAAAAAAGGATTTTTTTTCAAAGCTATGTATTTAAAGTTTTTACAAAGCAAACATCACCTTCAAAATACTTTTCCATTACACTTAATACATTTGTCAAATCTGCAATTCCATTATTGGAAACATTTCTCAAACTGATCTGTTTGAATGGCTGACAGCACCTCCCTCATTATTTTTTCCTTTACCTCCTTTGCATCATCAAATCGCAGTCCTTTCATATCCCTCTTCTTTCGAGGAAACAAAAAGAAATCACATGAAGCAAGGTCAGGTGAGTGGGGCAAGAGAAGCTTGCTGTTTTTTGCCAAAAACTAGTGCACTGAAGCGGTCACACGAGCAGGTGCATTATGGTGGCAAAACCAGTCCCCCATCTGCCACAAATCAGGCTTTATTTTTTTTGACCACACACTGTTAGGCAATCTTTTCAGAATCTCTAAATAATTTAACAGTCTGACCTGGTGGAACGAACTCCAAATGCACTATTCCCCTCACATCAAAAAACAAATGAGCATGGCCTTGATCTTTGATTTTACTCGACAAGCTTTTTGGAGCGAGGTGGTGATGGCATTTTCCACTGGCTTGATTGATGTTTGATTTCGGGGTCGTTAGAATAGCAACAGGTCTCATCACCAGTAAGCACCTTGGGAAAAGTCTGGGCCGCTGCAGAGCTGCTCTTTCAAAACACAGTATGTTCACTCCAAGCACGCTCTCTCTGCTGGTCAGTCAGTCAACCCATTCACAAATTTCCCAGCGACTCTCTCATTCTCAAATCTTTTATTAAAATTAGCGAAAGCAAGCTCTAAGATAGTCCAGATAACTTCCCCATGTCTTCAGTGGTCTGTCATCAGTCTTCAAGCACAAGTGAAATTTGTGGACGTTTTCGTCCATCCAGGAGGTTGACAGATGTCCAGAACGAGGTTTGTCATCAATTGACATTTCACCTTTTTGAAAAGGAGAAAACCACTCGTACACTTGAACTTTTCCCATAGCACTGTCCTTGTAAGCTGAGTTTTACATCACAACAGTTTCTGCAGCATTTCCCTCCCAAGCAGCAAACAGAATTCCCCAGCCATATGCCATTCTCTTAAATCGGCCACCACAAAAAACGAGGTTTGAGTGAAACTGCTTTTACAAAAAATTCACTGTACCAGGGAGAACCTTCCCAGGATATGCCACTGGGTACTCTAGCTCAAGAGCGAGCTACTTGATGCTCACCTAGCAGGAAAAATTCATACTACGAAAGCCCCGCCCAGTGGAGCTTTTTCTATTTTTTAGTTAGAACCTACAACAATAACAACCTGAGTTTGAAGGTATTGTTCACTCTTCTGGTTTGATACAAACTCCCATGTCACTTTGATTTGTGTTCCTTTATTGTGACCTGTTTGTATTTATTAACGTTCTTGGGATATTCTCTTTCACATTTGTATGTTTCCTGATAATCACCTGTATCTACCATCAATTGTTGCTTAATACACCTCCCCTAACTTAATGACTGAAAATACTAAGTACAAAGTTCAATACTTTATGTCACTGATGGCTCGGCTGATGTTGGGCCAATTCCCCTTGGACCTCTCATGCTGTAGGACATCTTGGGCTGCTTTTCCCTGTGGTCGATCATTCCGATGAAGCCCAGCCCTAGTTTGTTTCCCTGGCGGCAGCAGCAGTCCAGAATCACCATAGGGTACTGGTTCTCAATCTTCTTAATGCCACGACCCTTTCAGACAGTTCCTCATGTTGTGGTAACCCCCAAACCAAAGAATTATTTTCATTGCTATTTCATAACTGTAATTTTGCTACTGTTATGAATCGAGCGACCCCTGTGAAAGGGTCATTTGACCACCAAACGAGGCAGAGTCCCCTGCTGCCACAGGGGAATCTGTAAGGACTCTTGACACCTAGGCTCAGAGGTACGTGCTGTCACTTGAGCCACATTCTCCTGGTCAAAATGAGTATTGAAATAAACTTAATTTAACAGTAGGTTTAATGCATATGTCGTTTTGATGCATTTCATTTTCCTCAGCCAAAATTACAGAAACCTTTTACATTTACCTCCATTTATGGTGACGTTTAGCCATTTGATGAGACAACTGTATACCCAAATTCATTTTCTTCTAAGCCTTCTAATCTCAAAATTCTCTGTGTGGTCACTATTTATGGTGACGTTTAGCCATTTGATGAGACAACAGTATATCCAAATTCATTTTCTTCTAAGCCTTCTAATCTCAAAATTCTCTGTGTGGTAATACCTATCTCTACGGATACATGTCAATTTGACCCAAGCATAAACTTTAGTTTTAATTCCATTACACCAGTGTCATTCATGAAAGCATTACTTCAGTAATGACTATAAAAGTTGTCTAAAAGTTCTTAGAAAGTAAATATCAAATGTAAAGACAACCGTGCAGTGGAGATCCTCATACTGACCAACCCAGGTGACCCAGTAGCTCATATATTGTATAATGTTAAATATTATAAATTTTATATAAATATATAGCATCACAGGGTTTCACTTATAAGCTAATAGTGCATAAATGTTATTTTTAAATGAAATTGTTTTTTACAGGAAATTTGTGGTTTCATTCACATCTCAAATGGATGCATGTCCGTAGAGATAGGCTTATAAGCAGTATCCTTAAATCTCATAAGTGCCCCTTGCCCTTAGTTCCAATTCCTGCAAGGCCATGTATTACCGAGTAGAATTGTTCCATAGGAGTTTCTTGGCTGTAATCTTTACAGAAGGAGATTGCCAGGCCTCTCTTCTTCAGAGCTGCTAGCAGAGTTTGAACACCAGCTTTTAGGTTAGCAACCCATTGCAAACACTTGGAGCTTCCAATCCAAAACTTAAACTTACTGTCATTTCATCAGTTCTGCCACGGAGACCCGCTAGGACAGGTTAGACTGCTCCATAGAGCTTCTGCTGTGCTCTGTATGGAAGCTGGCTGTGCCTTCTTTCTCCCGTGGAGTAGCTGCCGATTTGAACTGCCAGTCTGTTGGCTCATAGCTGAGCACTTTAACCACTGCGCCACCAGGGCTCCTTGGCACTTTCAAGATACATTAAGTTAAAAAAAAAAAGACCAGAAAACAAACTCACTGCTGTATAGTTGCTTACAACTGGTCGTCATCCTCTAGTACACAATAGAACTGCTCCTGTGGGTTTTGACGGCTCTGAATCTTTAAAATAGCAGAACGCCTTATCTTTCTCCCGAGGAGCGGTATGTTGGTTCAAACTGCTGACCTTTCAGTTAGCAGGCCAATTCACAACCCACTAGACTACCCAGGGCTCTTTACACATTAAATTAAAGGGGGTAGAAATAAATGTCATTTCTCATGGGGGAGACTGACAAAGTCGCCCTGCAGAGTCATGTATAAAGAGATGGGAAGAAGAATTATGGCCAACTTTGGAAGCATTCTTTTCAATTTTTGTTACCGTTCATTTTGCTATGCACTAGTTTGGCCTTTTCATTCTGTTGATTACATTATTAGTTTTGGGACAATTAAAATGTATTTTGCTAATTTCTTCACTTGTCTTTTTCTGGAATATCTATTATTTAGATGCAGGATCTATTTGATTAATCCTCCACATTTATTAATTTCTTCTCTATTGTTCATCTCTTTGTCTTCTCCTTTTGGGGAGAATTATTTTGAATTTTATACTTTTTATTTTGTCTTCCTCCTCTGCCACCCCTTTCTTATATGTTAGAGTTCAGAGTTATAGATAATTCTCAGCATCATCACAGGTAGTGTTGGAGGTTTTCTTTCCCTTGCTCTAGTGATTTCTGAGAAGAGGGCTGAATGTTTTTCTTCTGTTATCTCTTACTGGAAGTGTATTCTTACTTATTTCATATTGGTGTTTATTAGCTTCCGTCTCAGAAAGTAAACTTCCCTAAAGTTGTCCTCCAATGTGAACTTTAAAAAAAAAAAAATCTATATATATATATATATATACACACACACACACATATATATGTATGTATGTATGGACCCAGTACCCCTAAAATTATTATTCTGACACCAAAGCCGTTTTCTTCCTGTACATTTTTCTAGGGAGGATCCACCAACTCATTCTCAACCAGACAGTGATGATGAGGCAGAAGAAATTCAGGTTGGTACAGAACAAAATGTCTGCTATGCACTGTTCCCACTTTAGATGATCTCTGAAATGGTCCTAAAATTTAGATCTGACCACACCCTTGATAAAAATGAAAAAATGCATGAATATCTCACTTTACATATTACTTTACATGTATTTTATGTTTAGGAAAAGTTAAAAGATTTATGTATCTTTTAAAGATAGAATGCAGCTTTTTTGGAAGCCAAAATACTCTTAAAAATTATCCTTATAAATCACCTTTTATACTTTCAATGAAGATTTTTTTTAAGTAGCAATTTAAGAACTCATTAACAATTTCTATACAAATTGCTTAGTGACCGGTGATGTTCTTTCTAATGCATGAACATTCTCATTATTTTCATTCTAGTTGTTTGTTTCCATGAAACTAGTTCACCTGCCCACTTACATTCTCATTTGATTTCAAAGTAATTGTTAAATGTTTGGTGTCATACAGATGATTTTTTAGAGGAGCATTTCTTTAGTGTTGACATTACTTAGGTTTGATGTCTGGTTTCTGCCTTCTTCCCCATGCAGTGGTCGGATGACGAGAACACAGCCACCCTGACGGTAAGAACAGAGTAGCACCCTGGTGAGGGAGCCTCACGCTTTGCCTCACACAAGGGTCGACACTACATGGAAATGCATACGTCTCTAAATTCCCATGTACTCCCCATTTCAAATATCCTTCTCTGTGAGCTTGTACTTACTATTTTGAGAAATAATTTCAATCACTCTTAAATAAGCAAGCTTGGTTTGCTTTCTTTCCCCTCTGATTACAAAGTGAATGTGTGATGCGTTGAGTTATTTGTGTTAAGCGTTGAAGGAAGAAATCTAGACTAACACTAGATTCTGAATTCCTTTAGATCTGAGGAACTTAAGTTAAAGTGAAAACAAACAAACTACTTATTCAAATACTTGTAAATGACATAAAACTACAATTCCTTTAACTAAGGGTAGAGAACTACTTGACTTTAACATTTTATATAAAAATGCAGAAATCAATTGACCATATTATAGTTTTTCAGGATAAAAGTGCCCTTGTATTTTAAGGAAAAGACTGAGTAAGAAATAGTTTTCTAAAATTCTCTAAAGATAAATGTATAGGTACAAAATAAAAAGCTATTTTTAGAGGGATGCTATATTCTAATACAACTCTAAGAAAATGCTTCTGGTTTTTTTTAATGAAAAGAAAAATAAGAGGAGATACTGAAAGCAAATATATTTCCTTAGGCACAAAAGCTACCCATGCTACAGATACTCACTTGTAGAAATGTAAAGTTCACATGTTTCATTCACCCCAGGTCGATCATTCTTCCTTTATGAAAAGTCATTTCATTTCAACATACATGTTACTTAATAGCACAGTCATGGAACTATTCTGAGTACATGAAATAAATAAGGAGCCCTTGGCACAGTGGGCAAGCACTTGGCCACTAACCTGAAGATCAGCAGCTCAGTCCACTCAGCACCCTGTGCAGGAGAAAGGCTGGTCCTTTGTTTCTATAAAGACTACAGGGTAAAAAATGCTGTGGGGCAGTTCTTTGTCCTGGGGTTCCCCGATGAGTCAGCATAGACCTGACGCACAGCAATGAGGTCAACACAGGGGAGCATGACTTGAGTTTTGTCATTAGGGAGATTATCAATCAGCGAGGAAAAATGACCAGAAATATAGGGGATCAATGATAGAGTACTATCAGAATAGAGATTACAGTGACAATTGAAAGTGTGCTGAAATGTTTAAAGGGAAAAGAGGTATTTGATCCACACCTAAAAAGTCACAGATTATATTGTCAACTCATGGTTTGTGATGTATATCAGAAAACATGCAGAGGTAAATAATATAAATGTGTATGTGTGTATATATGAGTGTGTATTTGCCACATTTTGCCCCCTGAGGCCTAGCAATAATGACATCATGATAGCAGTGAGCACACACAGTGCCGCGACCTTGGTTGTTTAAGTACCATTTTTCCTCTAAAAAAACAAAAGCTCCCCGAAGAAATTCAGTGCTGGGATTTAAAAGGAAAAATGAGCTTGGAAAAACTTGTGCCAGACGGTTAAGGAAATGCTCAAAGAATGCTGGGATGTAACACAACGTAGCCAGAGCCAGCTTGAGTGGGCTTTAACTGACAACAAATATGAGCATTATAGCAAAAAATGACAGTACTAAGTAATAAGAATAGTGCTGAGTATTAATAATAAGTATAGGCTAACTAATGGTGATAAGAATTGGCATCCCTGAGTAGCACAAATGGCTAAGTGCTTGACTAAAAAGTTGGTGTTTACAACCAGGACTTCATACTGGTTTGACTCTGCTCATTCTGAGTCAGAATCTGTCTGGGTCTCTGGGTCCCTGCCCTGGAGCTATTGAGACATGAATCACCACTCCAAGTGGAACAAGGAAAGGGAGAAACTCGGGTTTTGAAACAGTGAAGCATCCTTCCAGCAGCTAAGGTTGTTTCATGGGTGTTCAAATTATTTTAACTTCCAAGTGACATTTGCACTAATTTCCTCTAACAATACTTGGCCATGTTTTGCAAGCAAGTGGGCTATAATTTTTAAGACACATGAAAGATTACACAAAGCCACAAAACATAGTAAGTATGGAAAACATAAGAATGTTCAAATTCATAATCTTGACATTTACTTCTCAGCAGATTGCTTCTTATCAGGCTCATACACTGACTGAAAGCCGGAAGGGTCAGTTAACTCTAAGCAGAATTCAAATAGTAAACTAACATTCCAAACTCTTGTTTGAACCCTGAGAACTAGTCAGAACATCCAGTGAAAAATGCATAGCACAATCGATTACACTTAAATGTGGCTGATGCAAAGAGAAATAGCTCCAGTCTAGCTTACAACTCGCACAGTCACGTTTTATAGATTCCTTGGGACCAGTATTCCTGGAATCTACCCAGAAGCCTCTGGGAAAACATTCCAGTTTTTCTGAAAAGTCACAGCCTGGAGAACCTGTAGAGCAGTTTTGTTCTGGAGAATTGAAGTCAACTTCACAGCAACCGAAACAGCCCACCTTGACGTCGTGACTACGCTAAGTAGTGGAAAGAGAGATCCCTTTACAGTGGGAAAGGCACTACTCAGTGAATGGGGGTGGTAAAATCAGAAATCCTCACAGTTGAATAAATGTTCAAATTAGTGGATGAATATTTGATGAGAAAGGATACTTGCTTATTCTTAAAACACCTCTCCCCAAATCACTTGTTCATTATAAAGAGAAAAATTAATAATTTGGCAATGTAAAACCCTTTCAGATACCACCTGAGTCAAGGGATCAAAGTTAAATTCCCCAATGATGGGACAGGGTACTTGCACAGGTGCATTAGGAAGGATGGATCACTTGTGGCAATGCCGCCCAAAATGCATAGTCTATTCATGAGGGAACATCTCACTTGTTCAGCTTTTTGGAGTTTTTATACAATAACTGTACTGCACACTGCAAAAACATCAAGATTGTGAGAAATAATAACAAAAAGCACTTACAGAATAAAGAGACATGACAAATAAATGCTATGCATGGTCCTAGATGGTTTCTGAGCTAGGAAATTGGCAAAATTAGAAAAATATATGGATAGATTAGATAGTTGTATCAGTGTTAGCCCTCTGATTTGGTAATTTTATTGTTATATAAGAGAATGTACTGTCTTCTAGGACATATACCTGAAAACATTTAGGAATTAAGAGACGTCATTTCTGTAACTTATTCTCAAATGGAAAAAGAAGCAGACACTGCCCGTGAGGCTGGAAACCGGTGCAGTCAGATCAGAGAAGGTCCTCGCGGATTTAAAATGTGCATTTCATCCCACTTACAGTGGGAACCCTTTCTACGACTGTTGGTTTGAAATGAACTACATGAGTTAGGAGCTTAGAAAATTTATTCTGTTAAAATGTAATTTTCAGGAAATAGTAAAGTTGACTCATCTTACAGATATAAAAATCTTCAACACATATTAAAGTCTATTTAACTCATAAATGAGTGCACCAAGCAAGTATATTAACTGTCTGAAAAGAAAATTCAAAACAGACCCACTTATATGTCAGGGATGTTGAAAAATAGGTAAATAAGACAGAACAGATTTTTACCTCTTTCCGTCATAGAAAGGTAATCATAGTTCATTTGGAGGGAGGGAGGTGGGTGGGATTTCTAATGCTGTCGTTCATCTTGAAACCCTTTCTAAATGCTGCAGTTTAACTCCAAGTCTCTAAAGCTGAAGTAGTCTAGTAGATTGATCAATAGACTAAAATATCCTGTTAACCAGTATAGAAGCCAAACTTGTAAAGGGGCTTCAATAAGTTTGTGAAAAAATGCGATTAAAAGATAGGGATTGTTCTATGAACTTTTTTTTTTGAAGCCCACTGATATGTGCAACAGAAAGAAATGTGGCCTCATCTGCCCTTGATCTCGCCATTCTTTACTCATTTGTTGGGTGTAATGTAGTCCATTCTGACTCAGCAACCCTGTGTTACAAAGTAGAACTGCTTCACGGGGTTTTCTTGCTTGTAATATTGACACGCAGTCTTTCTGCTGCAGAGCCACTGGGTGGGTATGAACCATGGACCTTTTCACTAGCACTTAACCAGAGCACCAGCAGGGTTCCACTTTTACTCAGTGCCCTCTTGCTTAAAACTGATTTCTAGTGTGAGAGCCATATTGCTATTTAAAATCTTTACTTTCTTTGAAATGTACCCCAAACTCTTGTCCCAGTTTTCTCTGTCAGAGCTGGATTAGAACTTGAGACTGGGCATGAAACTAGTTGCTCTATTTTTGGAGGATATAATTTACTTATGTGGCATTGTCAGGTTAAGTTTTGGACTATTAACCCACCAATCACTGCAAGGGAGAAGACTCAGGCTATCTGCTCCCGTAAAGATGAACAGCGTGCAGCTGCCCAATAAGGAGCAGCAAATATGAAAAGGATAGCTCACTTAATAACTATGTGGAGAATCTGTGTTTATATATGTGCGTGTGTATGTAATTATCAGACATTAATTTTAATGATTTTGTCTCCTGAAAACTTCACTTCCACACCCCTTAAAATGAATTACTCCTCTTTACCTCTAGTTTATTTCCATGCACTTCTTTGACAGTGATGTAAGTCTTAACACAATGCAAAATGGCCATCATTTTAAAGTTCCTTAACAGTGGTATTTCTAAATACTTCCCAGTTGAAATGAATGCTTAGCATGTTTTAGTCACTTATGTAAGATATGCATTTTAAAATAAACCACAAAGAATTAACATTTTAACTTGATCTGAGCCCTGTTTTTGAGTTTTACTTGTATTAGTATTTGTCTGGAAGCAGTTGTATTTAAATACAATGTACCACTTCATTTATGGTTCATTCTCCTGAAGCCTTTGAAGGATCTGTTCAAGATTCTTTCCCACCAAATGGAAACTCTTGGCACTTTAAATGTGGGGTGGAGAGTATGTACAGGTATTATTCCATCTCACTGAAATACTGGTTTTATCTAGCTATATTTTAAGAGATCCATTTTTCCCTTCCTCGCATGCCCAGGTTCCTTCTGAAGTCTCTGTTTTTTGTTTTGAAAATGACATTCAAGCAGTTATTTTTTTCCCTCTGACTGGTTCACGGTATTTGATCATTAACTTTCTGTAGCTGAGTTCAGAATTTCTGCTAGCGATTGTGTTCTAAACTCTATTTTGGGTACCGTAAGCCATGAAACTTAGAATTTGATCTTATTTTCCATATTTATTATGATTGTACTGACTGGCCCAACCCATCTCTTCTTTCTCTCTGTAGGCTCCAGAATTTCCTGAGTTCACCACTAAAGTTCAAGAAGCTGTCAATTTGTTAGGGGGCAGTGTCTTTCCTAAGCTTAACTGGAGCGCCCCCAGGGTAGGATTGCATATGTGACTTCCATGTTGTTTGAACACAGTGTGCTTTGCTGCTGGTTTCCTTTCATATCCCACAGAGGCTCCAATTATAGTCCTAATTCTAGAAAAGATACGCTGAGAGTTATGAGTATTTTCCTGTCACTTTCCTGAGTTTGTGAAATGCTAATATTCTGGCAAGAGACAGTTTTATTCTAGTGTTGAAATTCTAAGGAAATTTTGCTCTGACCTTTGTAGAATCTTAGTCCTTCGCCTAAGTTTAGCAAGTCTTTTTTCTGTTGAGAAATAAAACATAAATGTCACAGGATCTAAAAATAGAGTAATTTGCTAATTAAGATGATGATTTTTCTCCTCGAATGGTATTTCATTATTTTCATGTTGCACTCACAAAGATATTTTGAGAAGTTAAAGTACATAGAACATTTTACCATTGTTTTTCTCATGTAATAGAAAACAATTTTTTGTCAGCCAAACTCATGGAAGGAATTGAGGACTTGTCTACATTTTCAAAAATCATCTCATGTAGCTTTTCTTACTGTAAAAGGAGCGATGTATTAAGTCTTTGTTTTATTTGGTTACTTTAAAAAATTAGTCATAGTGTATATAGTTTAGAATTTCAACTAGATCTCGAAGCTTGCTACAGAAGTCAGTGGATTCTGGCACCTGTTTTGCTATATTTTTATACTCTCTCCAGAGCACTCTCCCACTCCCAAATATTTTAGCAGATTCTTTTTTATTCATCTCTATCTCCTGCTTTTCAATTTTAGGTCCTAACTATTGACTTTCCACTCAGGAATTGACAGGCACAGCCATTGTCCCAATTACTTTCTAGTCTCTCACCCTCATTATGTAATAATTTTGGTTAGATCAAGATTCAGTATTTACCATTAGTATTATACACACATCAATTATACCCGTTATATTTCTGACATAAGATACCCTATTGGGAGAAGGCTGGGACTTTCTACTCCCATAAAGAGCTATAGTCTCGGGAACTCACAGGGGCGGTTCTACCCTGTCCTCTTGGGTTGCTATAAGTTGGCATTGACTCAGTGGCGTTGTTTGGTTTAGTTTTGAATGTACTCTATTATGATTCCTTGTAGTAGAGTATGTGATTGCTTTTCTTGGAGAAAGACTTCATGCTTGTTAAAATAGAGTGTCAGTGAAAAAGAGTGTGTTAGTCTGGGTAGACTAGAGAAACAAATTCATAGACACTCCGATGTGTATAAGAAAGAACTGTATATACGAGAGCAATTGAATATTGAGAAAACACCCCTGCCCATGTAGATCAAGTCCGTAAGTCCGATATTACCCAGATGTCTGATACCAATCCTATAAAGCCCTCTTCAGACTCACGAAACACATGCAGTAATGCCAAATGCAGGAAGATCACAGCATTGGGTGGGAAGTCTGGTGGGTCCAATGGCATTGTAAGTAGCTCAGCGCTAGCAGGGGTCTCCACGTGGCTTCTCCAGCTCTAGAGATCTGGCTCCATCAGCCTCTTTCCATGTGTCCTCTCCACAGGGATGTCTCGATGGAAGTGAGCAGGGAAAGAGTGTGTCTCCCACCACCAATGAGGAAATATAGGAGTTCCCAGAATCCTCAGGAGAAGGCCCTGCCCACACAGAGGCCTCATTGGCTATATCCTGATTTACCTGCTAGACTCTACCCCTATACTCGTAGTCCTCAAAATGACACCAGATTATGTAACTACCACAAAGAGCAAGACCCTTGTAGAGATGGATTGAGATAGCTGCTGCAACACAGCTCAAACATTAACACTTGCCAGATGTCAAAAGACCTGGCAGTGTGTTCTTCTTTTGCACATGGGGTCTGAGTCGGAACCAACTCGAAGGCACCTAACAATAACACAAGTACTTGTGCTCTCTTCTTCAAGATTTTCTTTTCCTTGGAGTTAATAATTGTCTTGATCAATTGTATGGTTTTCTATGTACACACTGTTGTTTAAGTGGAGTGCAATGTGTATGTTCAATATGCCATCGATAACCAAGAGTCAGTCACCTTTTTATTGGGAGAACTTATAAGAAATTATTGGTTTACTTTGAGTCCTTCAACAGTCAATCTTTAATTTATATAGTAGCAATGTTGTTCATTATTCCTTGCTAGTTGAGGCTTCCCGCTTACAATGGGTAGGCTTTTGTGGTGGTTGAAGTTGCTCATTGGTTATTGAGCACATAATAGGTGTGAGTGCCCGCTTCTATGCAATATGGATGATTGGATAGCTTTTTGCAGTTATTTTCTTAAAATTAAGTTGCTGTTCTATGAAGTAGATTTTTTAAATAACATCTATTTTTTTTTTCAATTTAAAAATATTTTTGAACTCCTTTTGTTAAATCAAAGTGGGTTTTATTTTATTTTATTTTTTAAATCATTTTATTAGGGGCTCATACAACTCTTTATCACAATCCATACATATATCAATTGTGTCCAGCACATTCGTACATATAGGCATATTTCAATAAACTTTATGAGGCAATCACCATTTAAAGTTGTGAGCGTTCAGAATGACTCACCTCCTTCTTTCCCAGATTGTACAGACGTGTGTTTTCATTGCCCCCCGTCCCCAAATGTCGGGTGTTCCAGTTGTCACTTCCCAGGAACAGGACGAAAGGAAAGCACTTCCTTGTCCTTGGAGAGTAACTCTTCAGCCTGTTTCTTCATGGTCTTCATACTCTAGTGCAGATGTCAGTGTTTCTGGTAGTTCGTCCCCCTTTCTCTCCCCATCAGTAGGAAACACTGGCAGAGTGTCTGAGCCTGACCTGAAGGGTGACGGCCCTAGCATCTCCACGTTCATAACTTGAGTGTCTGATAGGCAGGGTGATTCCTGAGTGTAATTTGATGTTTGACAAGATAGTTTACTCTCTTGCTTGACTTTGTTTTTAAGCCCTTCAGGTCATATGCATCATTGATTTATTTATGGGCTTGAGTTTCATCCATAGCAGTGAACTTGGAGTCCATATTAACCAGCATGTGCTTTACCATGTAGGATGCGTACTGGATAGCCATGAATAGCTCTCTGAAATGCAAAACGCTCAGCGACATCTTCCTGCTTTTCAAGAGTTCTGATTTCATCACTCGAGACTTTACTCAGCCGTAAGTATATGTCTCTTGTTCTTCAGACCTTGTGCAAGGTTTTATACAGGTGAAATTCAATTATGTCTAGTATTAGTATAAACAGCAGTTCCTTATAATAACTCTTTCATGTTCCTAGAATAACCTACTTTCTTTTCTGTAATTCTTTTCTTTTAAATGTTATGAAATGAATATCCATTTGTATCAAGTATTTCTTATATCTCTCCATGCATTAAATACTTCAGTAATTTTTTTCCTTATTATAAAACCAACATGTGCTTATTGTAGAAAAACAAAATTAGGGTCTGTGTTAGTCCGGGTAGACTAGAGAAACAAATCCATAGAAACTCGCATATGTGTATAAGAGAGAGTTTTATATAAAAAGCAATTGTACATTAAGAAAGCATCGCAACCCAGTCCAGTCGAAGTCCATATGTCCAATACCAATCTATAAAGTCCTCTTCAGACTCACTAAACACATGCAATGACGCTGAGTGCAGGACAATCACAGGCCAGTATGTAGAAAGTCTTTGAATCCAGTGGCGTTGTAAGCATCTCAGTGCTGGCAGGGGTCTCTACGTGGCTTCTCCGGCACCCAGGACTGCATCAGAGTAGGTCCGTGTGGCTTCTCCAGCTCCCAGGGCATAGCGCCATGTGTCTTGTCAGTAGAGCATCCCTAAGGGAGTGAGTCGAGAGAGACAAGTGTCTCCCACCTCTAAGGAAGAAATAGCAGATTTCCCAGAATTCTCAGGAGAAGGCCATGCCCACACAGAGACCTCATTGGCTATGATCTGGTTGACAGGCTAGATTCCACTCCTATACTCTTGATCCTCAAATTGACAAACGATTATATAACTACCACAGGGTCCATAGTTAAACAAAAGAGTACAATGTAAAAGTACCCACCCATGATTATATCACAATAACTATTTCTCTAATTCTTTCTGTGTATGAGTATAAAATAAGTATCTCTGTCTCTACACATTTTTTAAAAACAAAAAGTGGGATAATGTAGTTCATATTGCTTAGGAGGCTGCTTTTGCACTAAACAATATCTAATGAATATCTTCACCTGCCATTCAAATTCACTGCCATTGAGTCAGTGCTGACCCATAGTGATCCCTGGGGGTTTCTGAGACTGTTAAGTATAACTGGTTACAGGAGTCGAAAGCTCAGTCTTTCTCCCTCAGAGCTTTTGGTGTTTCAAACTGTCAACCATGAGGATCACAGCCCAACTCATAACCACTACACTCCAGAGCTCCTTCGCATACCTTAGTTACCTCAGTCCTATTTTTAGTTGTGATACGACTGCTCCACTGTGCTCCTGTGGTATAACCTATGTGACCAATACTTTACGTGTGAGCATCTAGGTTAGTTCCTCATTTTGAATATTACATACAATCCTGCAGTGAATATCGTCGAGCCTCATCTTTGTGTACTTCCTTAGGGTACTTCCTTAATCACTTCCTTCGGATGCATTTCTGGAAGTGGAATTGCTGTGTTGTCTTCCTTTTGCTAATTATTCTCTAGCCAAAGAGCTCAGGTGCTATCTCCATAATGAGTAGAGTACACCTTCAGGGCTCTTTATGCGGCTTTTATTGGGTCATGAAAAAACAATTATTTTTCTAGACTCCCCATCTTTCCCATATTAAACAAACACTTTATCTCAATTAACTGAGTCTTTTTACCTACCTCTTTCATAAGACATATCACAAACTGTAGAAGCTGAACAGGAGAACCAGGGTAAAAAACTGCAGATGTACTTTGCTCCTTCACTCTTTACTTTTCCTTCCACTTTAGTTCATCTGGGAAGTTCACCCTCACATCTTTCGTCTTCTTTTTTTTCGAAGCAAAATAAAGAAATGCATTACATGGTAGTTGCGCACTAACTCTGATGTTGGAGTCATACAGGCATTCAGTCCCGGGGTTAGAATGTCTGCCTTACAGACAACTCCCACCTGTCCCAAAGTGTTATGTAAGCCTGTGCTCACTTTGCAATGATTGAACCAACCCCTGTTGCAACCCAGGTTTTCATGATGGTGACCCTTACTTCCTGCACGTGAAGCTTTGAAATCATTTAGAAGACTTTGAACCTTTATTTGCACTGCAGTAATCCTAAATAAGAACCATGTGCCCCTGCCTGACTTACCAACAAATTTGACCTAAAGGCACACTTAGGAATGAATCTTAATTAACAGAGGGTCTGCCTGTATTAATGAGAAAGGAAGTAAAGTAACTAGATAAATATGATTACATACCAAGTTTATTATAAAAGGCTTTTATCTGTATTGGAATTTCTACTTCATTGACAGGAAAACATTATTTTGGCATTTAGCTGTCAAGCTTTTATGGTTGTAAAGAGACTTTTAAACACTACCTTGTACCCATTTATTCATCTGATAGGCATTTTCATGTAGCTTGAATATTAGTTGCAGTGAAAAAGTGAGGACATCTTTTTCTTCCTAAATTTAAGCATACCAGGGGGTCCCCAAAAGAAACCGCAAGTTGAGTACGCATTTTTCATAGCAGTGTGCGTTTCCCCTCTAGGTGGGCATCAAGCAGCTCGCTCCGAGTCAGTGCACACATTGCCATAGCCTGGGAAGGTTCTCTCTGGTCACCGTGAATTTACTCGTCAAAACAGTTTTGCTTGAACCTCGTTTTGTGTGATGGCCGATTTAAGAGAGTAGCATGTGGCTGTGAAATTTTGTGTTGTGCTTGGGAAAAATGCCACAGTAACTGTTGTGATGTTGAACACAGCTTACAAGGACAGAGCTATGGGGGAAAAAAGTGTAATAGTAGTTTTCACATTTCAAAAAAGGTGGAATGTCGATTGATGACAAACCTCTGGGGGTACCAGCCCCCACAATCAAATGGATCTAAGGGGTGGTTGTGTAATTGAGGGGTAAAATTAAAGAGACATCAGACAGGATAAAGCATGCAAGTGTTCACTTTCAGGACCTCCATGACTTCAGGAGCCAGGTCCTCTCAGAGAGAGAATATATTTCCAATCAAGGCTTATATACAATTACAGATAACCTCATATGTAACCAAGTGGGCTGTACCCTGACCCGAAAGGTCCCTGAGTACATAGAAGGAGTAACCTCACACCTGTGCCAGGGGCAGGGCAGGGGGGGCAGTTGTTGTCAGAGCCTAGCGAGCAAGAGCACGTCTGCCTCTGTAGTTCAAGCTGCAGGCTACCTAGTGATGAGCCATGTGCTTGTAAGAGGGAACTTTAAGGCAGCAGTACTATGGGAGGACATAGTGGGGAACAATATAAATTATGAGAATGTGATTGGGACTCACCTCCAACTCACAAGGGTGAAGGCCTCCCTCCACCCCAAAACCCAGCCTACCAGGCTTAATATATGAGAATAAAGGATTCATCCATATACACTCTCTTCCCATTCTCTGCTCCCACAAAACCTCATTCTGGATGTCTGTCAACTTCCCAAACTGACGAAAATGTCAGCTTGTAGTGCAGTTTGTTCCACCAGGTCACACTGTTCATCAAGCTTTCTATTTAGAGGTTCTGAAAATATTGTGTAACAGTGTGCAACAAAAAGGACCTGATTTGTGGCAGCCAGGGACTGATTTTGCCACCACGGCAATGAACTTACTCATGCAGCCATCTCAATGCACCAGTTTTTGACAAAAGACAACATGCCTTTTTTGCCCCATGCGCCTTACTCACCTGACCTCACTCTGTGGGACTTCTTTTTGTTTCCACGAATGAAGAGGGACATAAAGGACAGTGATTTGTTGACATATAAGAGGTGAAGAAACAAACGATGGAGCCATCCAAACAGATGTTTGAAAAATGTTCCCAAGAATGGAATCACAGATTTGACAAATGGATTAAGTGTCATGGAGAGTATTTTGTAGGTGTATCCCTGTGTCAGCCAATCTGACACAAGAAGAGGACCTTCCTCTGTTTTTCGCTGCCCCTCTACTTTACAAGCGTGATGTCCTTTTCCAGGGACCGATCTCCTGACAACATGTCCTAAGTATGTGAGATGAAGTCTTGCCATCCTTGCCTCTAAAGAGCATTCTGGTCATACTTCTAAGAGAGATTAGTTTGTTCTTTTGGCAGTCCATGTACTTTCAATAGTTTTCCAGCACTACAATTCAAACACATTGATCCTTCTTTTGTCTGCCTTATTCAGTGTCCAACTTTCCCGTGCATATGAGGCCATTTAAAATACCTGTAATTGCAGTAATGTGATTCTAAAAGGTCCTTGTATTTTGATTTAATAAAGGCACATTTTTTTATCTTTTCAAATTCCTCAAATTAAAAAAGAGGCTTTATTATGTATACTATTTTGACTTGATTTGCAAAAAAGAAAACAAAGATGTTACAGCAAGGACTGCAAGTTAATAGAAGACTGACTAAAAACAGTTTACACATAGAGGATTTTACAAGTATATATTATTTAACAGGGAGTCAGGAAATCAGGTATTCTAAGTGATAATCAGCAGTCTGCAAAGGTCACCAAGGACCCACCCAGGCTCTTTCAGTTTTTCTCCTTTGTCTTTCTCAGTGTATTGGCTGGTTCTTTGGTCACAAGATTGCTGCGTCCATTCCAGGCATCACGTGAAGACACCAAGAATAGGCACTGGTTCTTTCCGGCCATTCATCTTCCTGACTGACTGGACACTCCTGGAAGCTCCCTGGAGACTTCCTCACAGTGTTCCATAGCTAACGAAACAGTCGCCTAGCCTAATCTAGTGGCTGATAAAAAGAAAGAATTGCCATGATTAGTTTACGTTTTCAAATTTTACTATACACCGGAATCACCATAGATTGCTGGGCCCTGCTCCCAGTTCCTCGTATGCAGACTTGGAGTGGGGCCGAAGATAAGCCTTTCTACCAAGTCCTCAGATGATACTGAGGCCCACTTCAAGGACTACTGAGATTGTAATCAAATATGCATCGATTAGGGAGGAGATCTTGAAGCACAAGTGCCTCCATTGTTTGAGCAATCGGATTCTGTGGCAAGGGTGATAGTGGGGTAAACTACCAGCAAGTGTCTTCAATAGTTGTTAAGGACCTTCCCCAATTCCCCTTCATAGTGGTACTGTGGTTATGCATTGGGCTACTCACTGTAAGGGCAGCGCTCTAAACCACAACCACCAGCCATGGGAGAAAGACGAGGCGATTATATAGAGTCACAGTCTTGGAGACCCACAGAAGCAGTTCTGCCCTGTCCTGTAGGGTTGATATGGGTTGGCATTGACTCTGCACAGCGATTGAGATGAGATTCTTCAAGTGGCTATTGTGGACAAGAAACTTTAAAACATGTAAGTTTGAAAGTGATACATTTAGCATACCTTGTGTTGTATTTGATGACTGAATTATTTGCCTAGCTGTCATCATTTTTTGTGATTAGCTGAGCCATAAAGCTGCTGTCATTAATTATTTTCTTGAGTGTCACTTCAGTATGTCAGAGCATGGGGGGACCCAATGAACCTGGTACTTATTTGATATTTAGAAGAAGGGGCTGAGTGAGTGACAACTTAAGTCTATTAGGTATTCCTCTGTGGGACTTGTGACAACAGAGGAATAGATTTGCCTATAGGTCCACACACTTCACCTGCTTTAGTAATTTAAATTCAGCTACAAATTTTTTCTTATAATTAAGATTAATTAAATAATTAAATTAATTATTATTCATAAAATTCAGTAGGAAACAGTCACAAAACAGTGCATAAATGGGCTTAGCAGAACCTTTTACCTTGTGATGTACACAGACAACTTATTTAGATCACAGCTTTTCTCTTTAGATTGTTTTAATTTTTATCTCGTCCCACTGTTGGCATGTAGATTCGGACTCACAAGTGACCCTTTATAGAGTTTTCAAGCTGTGAATCAGTATAGGAGCTCCTACAGAGGGGCTGATGGGTTCGCACCATTGACCTTAGGGTGAAAGGTCCTATGTTTTCCTAAACCGCAATCAAAGCTGCCATACCAGAACTTGGATCCTTAATGCTTCCCTGGCACTGAATTCTGTTTTTCTTTTGCTGCCCATGATTACCTTGTTTTTCTTATGCTTTTGAGTTGTTTACTATGAAGTACAGTGTAACTTTTTAATTTCTCAGAAAAGCTTATCAGTAAGGATTAAACCAAAACTAAACTCATTGCCATCGAGTTGAAGCAACTCACAGTGCTCCTGTTAGACAGGCTAGAACTGCCCTTAACTTTCTGAGACTCACTGTGTGGGAGTGGAAAGCTCCCTCGTTCTCCCATGGAGAGGTGCTGGTTTGAGCTGCTCACCCCTCCGCGTGAAGCCTGATGCATAACCACTACCCTGCCAGGGTTCCTCTCAGTGAGAGTTAGGCCCTGGAAAATACCTAGGACAGTATGCCTCTGAAAAGCGGTACTGATTTTCGGTTTTTGCTACTTGGAAGGCTTTAGTGGTCATGTTTTCTATTTACGATGACAGTTTTTTAAATTTATTTAGGTTTTGTTTTTGGTATCTTATAGTGCTTTAGAAGGAACCCTGGATTGGCAGTTCAAACTGCTCTGAGGGAGAAAGAAGTTGTTACCTATTCTCATAAAGATTCACATGGCTGGAAGCCCTATGTAGCGTTGCTGTGAGTTGGAATAAGCACCTGGTGACGCAGTGAGTGCTTGTTGACCTGCTAGCCACAGAGTCAGCAGTGTGAATCCACCAGCTCATCTGTAGGACAAGGACAGGCTTTCTACTCCCCTCCCCAGGGTTTCAGATGCAAGTGTTTGGCTTATCCATGAGCCTGCATTACTTTAAAGTGACATATGGACATGACAAAATATTTCATGGTTTCTATTAAAATACCCACGGTACCTTTTCCGCTAGTATTGTTTCTATTACTATGTTCAGTACAGGAGACTGGTTTAAGGACTCTTGGTTTTGTGTTTCGCCTTAACCTGAAATTTTGGGGTGGTTCATTTTTAGAAGTTAAAAACCCATGACCTAGTAGTACTCATTTCTTTCTTTTTTGATTTTTCAACCTACTTCGTCAAGAATGTAGACAAATTCTGAATAGTCACATAGAAAACATTCTTTGCAGCATTTCAGCTGAGCTCCAGCGTGTTCCTGGTGACCTTTATGTTGGGTCCGACCCTGAAGGCTTAGAGCTTTCTGCCCTCTCAGGAAGGATGTGTGGCCATCTGGCGAATCATCTTAGTAAGAAAAAGCCTGTGTAATCACTGTAAATGTCAAATATGGATCAAGCAAATATGCTAAATGTATACTTATTTTAGAGTAGCAGTAAGAGGAATAACAGGCTTGAAATCATAATCTATAGGAATGAAAAAGTTTTAAAAAATTGGCAGTGAAGACCTTTGTTTTATAACTCTCCCTTTTGGTTTTTCTTTAGTATTTTTTAAATGAGTAGGTATAAAACCTCTATCTACCTTGTTCTTTGTAGAATAGTATTTTAATAAGAAACTATCCTCTATTATTTCCAAAGATTCTAACAATCAAACAGGTAAAGTTACAGTTGAAAATTAAATTGATAATAGTTCTATTACCATAGAAACCATTAAGATAATTCTGTATTGTTTGTGATTCCTCTCTCATTTTTTCCTCTTTCTATCTCTCTTATGTCTTTTAGATACATTTCCAGTAAGAGAAGATAGGCAATAAGTTGAGCTTTTATCATGATAATGGACTCTAAGTTTAAATAGTAACTTTTAAAATAAACTTATTTTCGTTCTTATAAAATCAATATAAGTAACTGAAGAAATTAACAGTCACAGTGAGAAATTACTGTCGTTAATTTTTTGTACTTATTATTTGGTTGTTTCTGCAAATATAGGCTTGTTTCACAAAAATGAGATCATACTATATATAGTGTGGGGTCATTTTTTCCTTTTTTACAAAGTATATTGTAAGGTCTTATCTCTCATGAAAAATTATTATCATGCACTTTTCCATTATCATCTGGGAGAAAGATGAACCTTTCTCAGCCTGTAAACAGTTACCATCTCAGAAACCCTCTGGGGCAGTTTTACCCTGTCTTCTTCTTTTTCTACCCCGTCTTGTAGGATCACTATGAGTCAGAATTGACTCGATGGCAGTGAATTTATTTTGTTTTCTGTTATCATACTACTTTGAGGATTCCTAATATTTTAATTTTTCATCTTTCATTTTGGATCATAAAGGATGTGAGAAGAATGTTTTTAGAATAAATTATTTTTTTTTCTAGTAGAATTCTTAATAAGATGAATTGACCTTCCTGAACCCTGGCTGAGGAGGATTAGCACATAGTAGTCACCCTCAAGCATTTGAAAACGTGCTAACTTCTGTGACTTGGTAGCTTTTAGGGGAGCCTAATTAGCCTCTTCTGCCTGAAGTCATTGGTTTGGAGGCCTTGCTGGGAATTCCTGTCTTAGAAAAGTCAGTCAGCTCGATACTTCCTCCCTGGGCCCTGATGGTGCAGATCCAGCAAAGAGGCCTACAGCTGGCAACAGACCTCTCTTTGGGTCAAGTATTGATTCATTTCCCCCAAGAACCTCTCACAGTTTGCCTCTCTCACCTTGCCTGACACAGCAATGTTGAGAAAGAAAACCCCACTGGTAGAAAAACCTGTTGTCTTTTTCACAGTACCTCATAGGAAAACCTTTTCCTTGTTCAGATTTTGTGGGTAAGTCAAACAGTATCTCTACAAAATCTCAGACACCTTTATTAAACAAAATGGGAAGCTAGTGTTTCTCCACATGCCCTCCACCTAGGTCCATACACTTCTGAAGGTGGTGTTTCCATCTTTTAAGTCTTTCCCTAAAGAATTTTGTGCTCTCTGACTTACACCACATCAAAGTAACAATTTTCCCATTGCCCTGGAACTCAAATCATGCTCCTGTGAAATGTTCTGTGAGTTTTGAGAACAAAATGAATTCTGAAGAGGCCAGATCAGGGCTGTGGGGTATACGGGGTTAGGCTCCCAATGACATTCTCCTAGGAAAATGATTTGTTTGTTCCATAAAAGAATGAATAGGTACATTGTCATGATGGGGATAAATTCCTTAGCATAATTTCCCTGCATTTTTTTCACCAATGTAATTTTCCATTTTCCAGAACTTCCTCATAAATAGCTCCATGGCCATTTGTGTCCTCTGTAAAGATCTACCAAGATTACCTCCAAATCGTTGCCAGAACCTTCTGAGCTTATTGGAGGCTGAACCTAGCAGTTCTTCCTTTGTACTTTGAGTATTTTTTCCTCTTCTCTCCAGTGTTAGGATTTTTTTCCCTCTCTCCTTCTTAGGCATTTTATACCAAACTGACTGAGTAAACAGGAGAGTCTCAGTCATTTTTGGAGGATTCTCAGTGTCCTGCACAGCACTTGGCTTAGCAAATCCTCATGAAGGAAGGAAATATACTTACTAGAGGACTGTATTAATCTATCATATTTTCTTAAATGGCGCTAGGAAAAAGGACAAAGGCTCTATGAACGCAGGGTGGCTTTGGATGGCAAACTTAATAAGGATGCACACAGTATGTCAGGTGGCTTTGCTGTGTTCGTGTCATTTAGAATCTGGAGGTAGAAAGTTTGAGTTACAGTCCCGGCGTTGTGTCTAAATTTGGGTTTTTCTGAATCTGAATTTCCTTGCCTTTGCGGGGTAGAAGGAGATTATACTAGCCACTTCATATTTGTGGAGGCGGGATGAAATAAGAGCCATGCTGAAGTGCCTGGGAAATGCCTGGTACAGAATAATGGTGACTAAATGTTCATTGAATGTAAATTAGTCTCTTCTTTCTGGATGCATTCTAGTAAAACCTTACATTCACGTTGAAATAGAAATAATTATGCATAAACTGTACCCATATACAGAAAAATTCTCTTACCTTTGTCTTTCCCATGAAGATTCATTCATTGTACTGATGATTCTCCAGATCCTTGTATGGAATATGAGGTAAGAAACTTTTTTATATCTTGAAGTTGGTAATCCTAAATGAAGCTGTGTTGGGAATTGATACTTATTCTTAAGTGGAATGAAATATTTTGGGTTCATTTCTCTGAGAACCGAGAGCCGTGAGTTTTAAATATTTGAAGGATTATACATAAAAAAAAATACATCAATTCCTCACTTATTGACTATTTCTTTATCCGACATCTCACATTTATCATAGTAGTAAAACATATCCAGACGACGTACAAGCACCAAGGTGCACCATGAGAAGAGCACTGGCTAGGCCATGATACTCAGAGATTTGGCAGCTAGGTAGTGATGTGACTTGGCATATAGTAATGTAATTTGGTAGTTATCCTCCACTTTGGGTTCTGACGTGGAAATCTTTCATTTTCACATAAGAGTGCTTCTTGCATAAAACTCTCGTCTGGAACCTAATTGTGTTGATAGGAAGGAGTGGGTACATAATCTGTCTTACAGAATATATACATCTGTCTTTGTCTGAACTGCCCCAGGAGAAAGACAGGGCTTTCTACTCCCATGAACAGTGTCAGTCGGGAAACTCACATGGGAAGTTCTCTCTTGTTCATAGGGTCACTGCGAGTTGGCATGAACTTGATGGCAGTAAGTGTGATATATATTGATATTTTTATGTTTATACACACATGCAGAATTTATATATGTGTGTATCCATAATCACCACTTAGGTTCAATGGACCATTTTATTTTTTACATCTTTCACACTTTTACAAATAACTTATAGAAGTAAGCATAAAAGAATAGTATGAAACTGCTTTGTTAAAATTTAGTACGAATTTAAATGTAGGAAATCCCAGTTTTATCCTGTGGTTTTCTAAGTTTGAAGTATATGCACATACACACACATCTCTGAGTCCCTTGGATGCAGCTAACTGCTTGCTCATCAACTCTCATCAAGGATCCAGGCGTATACCTTTCTTTTAGACACTGATTCTGATTTTCCGTTACATCCACAGTAGTCTCTCCTGGATTGTCATTCCTGATTGTTCTTTTTGTACTTGTATTGTTAAGTGCATAGTTCAGAACATTTTGAAAGATTATAATTTTATGAGGAGACAATGGCTATCTTTATTCCATTATTGTAAAATATTTGTATTTTTAGACTTATAATGCCAATTAGAACCAGTCCAAGGAATTTTTTAAATTTCTTCATTGTTTTCAGCCATCTCTGTATCTACACATACCTGAAAAATTTGCCTTTTGACTCAGTAGTGTTGAGTGTATAAGTTGGCATAGCACCTGTTTGCAGAACAGTTAAATGTTATTTAATTTCTTACCAGGCCACCAAACAATTGCTAGGTCTTATAGCACTATACAATTGAGATCTTTATATATCATTTGTGAGGGTTCCCCTCCCGTCTCCCTACTTAATAGCATAGTGTGGGACATTTCCTAGGGTCATTAACCAGTCTTGGATAACGTAATTTATATGTGTGTAATACATTTTACCTAGTCTTCCACTGCACCAACTCAAGCATCTCCTAAGACTTGTTACTGGTGGTAGTGCTTTTCAGTAGGTCAAATTGAGGTACGGCTCCCATAAAGATTTGCAGCCTTGGAAGCCTGCGATTGGGTTACTGGTTATTATGTGTCAGCATCAACTCCATGGCTGTAGGTGGAGGACTGAAGTTAATACCAAAAGAATTTTAAATATAAGAAAATATGAGCATCAATCACAATGATCAATGTACACACCTCCCCGGGGGGGGGGGGATGAACAGCAGAAATGTGGGTGAAGGGAGACAGCAGTCAGTGTAAGATATGAAAATTATAGTAATTTATAAATTATCAAGGGTTCATGAGGGAGGTTGGGTGAAGGAGAGAGGGAAAAAAATTAGGAGCTGATACCAAGGGTTCAAATAGAAAGAAAATCTTTTGAAAAGGATGATGCCAACATATGTACAAATGAGCCTGACACGATGTATGGATTGTTATAAGAGCTGTAAGAGTCCCCAATAAAATTATTAAAAATAAATAAATAAACTTTTATTGAAAAAAAAATTATGAGTAATCCACCAACCAGATATATCTTAATTACTAACATCTAGTCTAGACCTCCCCAAAGAACATTTTAAAAAAAGAAAACAGAAGGAAATATTTATCGTTTGCCATGTATAAAATTGCAACCATTCAGTAGTATACAGGAGTTTGCATGTATTGGATAACCGTTCGAGCTGTGAGACACATTTATGACTTGGTTCACTGGTTTACTTTAAAATAACAGGAAAATCATGGAAGGATTATAATGATATTTTGTGCTTTACAATAATTATTTTATCAGAGTAAATGTTACAGAATGATGCTTCAGTTAACTCACTATCACCCATTGAATGCTGATTTAAAACAACCCTGTAGGGCAGGGTAGAACTGCCCCTGTGGGTTTCTGAGACTGTAACTCTGTGGGAGTAGAGAGTCCCATCTTTCTCTCTCGAGGAGCAGTTGGTGGGTTTGAACCATAGACCTTGTGACTAGCAGCTCAGTGCCTAGCCCACCAGGGCTCCATGTGCTTAAGGTAGGTAGTTTTTGATATTGTTAAGGAGGTGAAGCATCTATCAAGCACAGGGCATTTTATCACACAGTTGTGAAGATTTATCATAGTCGCCTTTGGGGTTGTGTATTCTGTCTGAGCTCTCAAAACGCTAAGTGGCAAAGATACTGTTTTCATAAAGCATTTTAACAAAATGACGTCTGTTGATTAGAGTAACAGATCACAAATGCCTCCCCAACTTCTCATATCAAGAATATTTGTTTCCTCTTCCTTTTTTTAACCATTTGATAATGGCACTTGTTCAGTACAATGTTAGAATGGCGTTGGCTGTTAGACTAGTGAACTTTCCCTTGTAGCATAATAGTGTTAACATTTTTCAACAGCTTGTTCTCCGAAAATGGTGTGAATTAATTCCTGGAGCTGAGTTCCGATGCTTTGTCAAGGAAAACAAGCTTATTGGTGAGTCTCCCTCCCCCATCAGTACTCATTAAATGAGACAGATTTTTGATGTGAATAAGTAATTAGGATAGGTGTGTCAATCAGTTTTAACTCAGATGCTACCTCTAACCAACCAACTGGTACTGGTTCTCTGACAGCTCCGCTGACAGCATCTGGAGGCCACAGTCATGTGTACAGAACAAGAGTCTGCCTGGACCCCGTAGGGACAAGGGAGGACCTTTACCTTTCCTAGTTCAGGATATTTAGGATAGACTTGCTTCTTCTTAGTGGCTTTCCTAAGTAGAGCTATCACTACATTGCTGATTTTAGCCACCACGAAAGTGAAACTTTAGGCCTTTGTTTCTATTATTGGGGTATACTGTTTATTATTATGTAAGAGAAAATATATGGACAGTAAGTGCCTTACTTTTAAAAATTCACCCATCTCTTTTTCCTGTCATCTTTTTCTCCTTTTTCTGGTTATCATTTTATCCTTGTTAAATACCAAGATAATTTGTTATTTTTTTAGCTAAGCATGTTTTCTATGGGGTAAACTAAGAAAAGTTATTATTTGAGTACAGTCAGATTAACACTGTTTCCTTCTTTATAAAATTTTTAAATTGTGGTTTGGGTGGAAGTTTACAGAGCAATTTAGTTTCCTCTTCAAAAATTTCCACTTATTTTTTTAATGACATTAATTGGAATCCCCTCAATCTAACCACTCTTCCTCCCCGGGTTCCCCATTTTCATTCACCCATCTTTTTTATCCCTTCCTGCCTTCAGAACTTTGTTTTTTGGGCAAATGCTACCTTGTGGTCTCATATAATCGGTTACTCTGAGAAGTATGTTCCTGATGATATCACTGTTGACTTTAAAGCTCTGTCTATTGTTTGGCTAAAAGATAATCTCCGAGCTTATGTAGTGTAGTCTCAGGGGCTCCACCAACCTCTATCAGACTAGGAAGTCTGATCTTTTTATAATTTTATATTTTGGTATACACTTTTTTCTCCTCTGTTCAGGATTATAGGGCTGACTAGGGAAGCTAACAGCTTACAGAATCAGAATCAGAAATGGTGAGGGAAATGGTTTTAATTTTTAGCTCTGCCCACAGGCTCTCTGGTCCCTATTCATCTGTGACCAACAGCCATGCAGCCCTTGGTCTCTGCACGACTTGGGCAAGTGTTACAAAAGTTCTTTAGCGCTGATTAATGACCAATGGATACCCAAGGACCTTGCATTGTAAACCTGATCAGAGCAATTGGTAATTGTAGCCAGGGATCTTCTAGTTCTTCTGGTCTCAGACTAGTGGGTGATCTGTTAACCTTTGGGGCTAATAATGCCCTTGAGCTTTTCATCGTCACTCTTCCCTGCTCTAAATGGGAGAGACCAGTAGTTGTGTCTTAGACGGCCCCTTGAAAGCTTTTAAGACCCTAGACACCACTTAACAAAGTAGGATGTAGCACATTGTCTTCGTGGATTGTATTAATTCATTTGACCTAGATATGGTATTTGATTATGGGTCAGAAGTTTGCATAATTTCCCTATGTATGTTCTACTTTCCCCACTCATCTGTCATTTTGCCAAACTCTGGTGGTTTGCATGTTACTGTGATGCGGGAAGCTATTCCACCAATATTTTAAATACCAGCAGGGTCATTCATGGCCAACAGCTTTCATCAGGGCTTACAGACAGAACAGAGCAGGAAGAAGGAAGAGACTATCCACATCTAATGGAATAGTCACTGACAATCTTATGAGTCACAGTGGAACATTGTCTGATATAGTACCAGACGAGAGCCCCTCATCATAAGCCACTCAAAATACAACCGTGGAAGAGCAGCCTCCTCAAAGTAGCATTGAGTTTAATGATGTAGAGGGAGCAAAGCTTTTAAGAATTTCATTTGGGGGAGAAAAAACAAGAAACTTCATTTTCTGATGTGACACAACTCAGAAGGAGAAGCAACACCTGCAAGTATCCATTACTAATCAGAACACGGAGTATACAGAGTATGAACCCAGGAAAACTGGAAGTCAATCAAATGAAATGAAATGGAACATATAAATATTGATATCCTAGGCATTAGTGAGCCTAGGACTGGTGTTGGCCTCTTTGAATCAAACAATCATGGTTTATTATGCCAGGAATGTCAAATTCAGGAGAAATGGCATCTTATTCATCGTCACAAAGGACATTTCAGCATCTATTTTGAAGTACCATAATGTCTGTGATAAGATGATATCTATATACCTACAAGGGAAATCAGATAATACAACAATTATTCAAATTTATGTGCTAAACACTAAAACCAGTGAAGAAAGTGAAGGATTCTACCGACCTTTTCAGTCTGAAATTGATTGAGCGTGCAATCAAGATGCATTGATAATTACTGTGATTAGCATGTGAAAGTTGAAAACATGAAGGAATGAAGGAATGAAGATTGCATAATAGTTTTTTAAGACCAGTGCCTTCTTCACTGCAAGTACCTTTTTTCAATAACACAAATGGTGACTCTACATGTAGACCTCACTCGATGAAATACACAGGAGTCAACATGACTGTGTGTGTGTGAAAAGATGGAGAAGCTAACTGCTGAACAGGAAATTTCAAAAGGCATCATAAGGAAACATAGTGAAACAAAATCCTAGCATAAGAAAACCAAGATACAGGTACACTCAGTGAATCTCCAGCTGAAAAGAACTGAAGAAAAATTCAAGCCTTGAGTTGTAATATTGAAGGATTCCCTTGGCAGATATTAAGTGATTCAGAAACCATCAAAAAAAGATGAAAGGAATGCACAGTCACTGTACCAAAAAAAAGTTACCATTCAACCCTTTCAGGAGGTAACATGATCAAGAACTGATAGTATTGAATGAAGAAGTGCAAGCCGTATGGAAGGCAGTATCAACAACAAGGTTTTGGAATTGATGGGGTACCAACTGAAATATTTCAAGTAACTGATCTAGCACCAATCCAGTTTTGGAAATACTCATCTATCCCATGAAATTTGGGAGTCAAATACATGGTTGACTGACTGGAAGAGATCCCTATTTGTGTACATTCCAAAGAAAGATGACACAGCAGAATATAGAAATTATTGAATAATATGTGTAAAATTTTGCTGGAGGTATTTTAAAAACTGTTAGAGCTGCATCAAAAAGGAGCTACAGAAATTCAAACCAAATTTAGAAGAGGATATGTAATGAGGATTATGTCATTACTGACATCAGATGGATCTTGGCTAAATGTAGAGAATGCCAGAAAGATGCTTACTTATACTTTATTAACTATATAAAAACATTTGATTGCATGGGCCACAACAAACTGTGGGTAACATTGACAAGAATGAGAATTCCAGAACATACTTTATTGTACACAAATCCCGAGGCAGTTGTTGAAACACAACAAGGAGATACTTTGCAGTTTAAAATCAGGAAGGGTGTGTGTCAGGGTGTGTGTGTCCTCTCACCGCCTTACTCAGTCTGTGTGCTGAGCACGTAATCTTGGTCCTAGCAGCTGGACTACATGAGGAAGAATGCAGCATCAGAACTGGTGGAAGATTCGTTCACAGCCTGTAGTGGCAGAACCCTGCTTGCTGAAGTGAAGAAGACTTGAAGCACTTACTGAGCAAGGTCAAAGACAGCCATCTGCAACATTGATTGCCCCTCAACAGAAAGTAAACACAAATCCTCATAACTGAACCAACCTTGAGAGAGACGTGATTGAAGTCATCAAGTATTTCATTTACTCGGATCCACGAAACAGCAGTCAAGTAATCAGACAATGTACTGCATTGGGAAAATCTACCACAGCAGATCTTGTTTTTGTGTTTCACAGAAGACCAAGGACTCCAGCCTGTAGTGTGGGTGGAGTACAACTCAGTGAAAAAAAAAAAATCCTCACAACTGAACCCTGAGCCAATAGACAACATCGTGATACACAGAGGAGAGATTGAAGATGTCAAGGATTTCATCTTGCTTGAGTCCACAGTGGGAGAAACAGACAAGAAATCAATATATCGTATCAGTCATTTCTGCTGCACGAGACCCCTTTCAAGTGTTGAAGAATAAAGGTGCCATGTTGAGGACTAAGGTGTGGTATTTGTAATTTTTTCCCATTACAGCAAATAAGGAAAACCACAGGAGAATTGATGTATGTGAATAATGACGTTGATGAAGAATATTGAAAGTACCAAGGACAGCCAGAAGAAGAAAAAATGCATGTCTCAGAAGCCAGGACTGTGAGTCTGTATTCAGCACGCTTTGGACAATTGATCAGGAGAGAAGCAGTCCCGGGCAAAGCCCGTCATGCTTGCGAAAGGGAAGGGTTAGTGACAAAGAGGGAGGAAGCCCCTCAGTGCGGTGAGCTGATAGGTGGTTTCCACCGCGGGCTCAAGCACAGTCATTGTGAGAATGGCGCAGGGCTGCACAGGGTTGCTGGGAGTCTGACCTACCTTGATGACAACATGTCTCCACGGTTACCTAAGTCTTACTGGGTGTATTCGGAGAAGAAGTCGCCTTTTATGCACTTTACCTGGGATTACTGCTCTTTCTCTCAAGGTGCACAAGTTGTTCTGGGCTGGCTGGTCCTCTCCTTGGTCTCTTCGTGTTTATTTTTTTCAATCAGTTTCTCCTTCAAATCTGTTTGATGTCTTTCTTCCTCCTTTAACATGATGTGCAGATTCCAGGACTGTTTCCTGTACTGGTTTTACTTAGTCTCCTGTGTCTTAAAAGACAGCGTGGTACATCTGACCAAACCATCATTTGGCTGGAAGTCAACTGTTTATTTTTTTAAAGATACACATATTAACTACTGAAATTTGGACTGTTTACATTTATTTTGTTGTCAGATATTTGTGGAATAAATGCCATTGAATTCATCTGAAGATGTGAATTCTGTTGGCATGTGATTGAGGATTGGAAGCCCTTCTTTCAGAGCAGAGACCTGTTTCCTAGGACTAGACCAAGGATAGGGAACCTGATTTCTGACAAGGGCTATTTTGACATTTATAACAGTATTTGAGGACCATACAAAAGTATCAACATCAATAGTAGCCTGCTGTATTTGTTCCAACGGTTAATTAACCTATCCCTAGTGTGATGGCGAGAATTGTTTCTCTTTGGTGAAGGGTGTAGTATTAGCTAATATTGATGATTTGGGGGGGCCTTACACAGCCCTTGGGCTGGATGTTCCCCATCACTGGACTAGATTAAATTGATGGAGTTTTTACAATAGCCCTGTTAGTGTGTTGGAAAGTACATCAGCAAGTCACTCTTCAAGAGAAATGCTTGCTTTTCCATGGCTTATTAAGGTAGAGTAAAACATCAAAAGAAAATTTGAGTGCTCCTATGAAATACAATGTGAATGTGGGAGACAAAATGTGAATATGAGGGTTGTTTTAAGTTTTCCTGGAGAAATTGGAAAAGAATACTAATTTGATGCAAGGGTTTTGGGAAAATCAAAGCAATAACAGTTGATGATGTGTGCCATTTAAAGTTGCATTTAGAAGTAGAGGACAGAACCAGGAGGCAAAGGCCATTTATAGAGGTCTAACTACAAGTATGTACATATGGAAATATATTTATATATAATGATAGGGAAATAGAGCTATGTACTTTTATCTGTATGTTAAGAATTAAGGTGGCAGATGGACATTGGGCCTCGACTCAAGTACTCCCTCAACACAAGAACACTTTGTTCTAATAAACCCAGGATTCTGTGATGCTCACCTTCCTGACATGATAGCTGAAGACAAAATGGGTGCATAAGCAAATGTGGTGAAGAAAGCTGATGGTGCCCAGCTACCAAAATATATAGTATCTGGGGTCTTAAAGGCTTGAAGATAAAATAGCAGCCATCTAGCTGAGAAGCTACAAAGCCCCCGTGGAAAAAGCACCCCAGCCTGTGTGATCATGAGGTGTCAATTGGATAAGGTATCAGGCATCTAAGACACAGAACAAAATCATACCAAGGTGAATGGGGAGTGTGGGGGCGGATGAGGAGTGGAGACCCAAAGCCCATCTGTAGACAACTGGATCCCCTCACAGAAGGGTCACAGGGAAGAGATAAGCCAGTTGGGTGCAGTAGAGCACTGATGAAACACACAGCTTTCCTCTAGTTCTTTAATGCTTCCTCCCTGCCACTATCATAACCTCAGTATTACCTTACAAACAAAGATCTACATATAACCTCCTCTGTGGGGGATGGACAACAGAAAAGTGGGTGAAGGGATATGTCGGACGGTGTAAGATATGACAAAATAATATTAATTTATAAATTATCAAGGGTTCATGAGGGAGGGGGAGGCAGGGGGGAAATGAGGAACTGATACCAAGGGCTCAAGTAGATAGCAAATATTTTGAGAATGACGATGGCAACAAATGTACAAATGTGCTTGACACAGTGGATGTATTTATGGATTGTGATGAGTTGTATGAGTCCCCAATAAAATGATTAAAAAATATACTAAAATATTACCTTACAAATCGGATTAGACCAGAACATGCACACTGCTACAGATAAGAGCCCACAACACAGGGAATCCAGGATAGAAAAAACCCTCAGGACCAATAATGAGAATAGACATACCAGGAGGATAAGGGGAAGGAGGGGGGAACAAAAGGAGAATTGATCACAAGGATCAGCATATAACCCCCTACTAGGGGGACGAACAACAGAAATGTGAGTGAAGGGTGACAGGATGGTGTAAGATATGAAAATAATAATCTATAACTTATCAAGGGTTCATGAGAAAGGGGGTAAAATGAAGAGCTGATACCAAGGGCTCAAGCAGAAAGAAAATGCTTTGAAAATGGTGATGACAACATATGTATAAATGTCCTTAACACAATAGATGAATGCATGGATTGTGATAAGAGATGTAAGAGCCCCCAATAAAAGTAGTTAATTAAAAAAACAATAAAGTTGCCTTTAAATTTTTTAACGGAATTGTTCTTATGACTGAGATCTTATTTAATACATTTTTCCATTGTACTAAATAAGACTTATTTTTCCAAAAATAAGAATGCATGATAAATAAAAATTTAGCAGTCAGCCTTTCTACAGCTGGTAGTTTTATGTCTGTGTAATGCAGTGGATCATTTAAAATTCCATAGTTGTCATCTTTTTATTATTATTATTTGGAGTGAGCGTTTATTTTCACAATTACAACATGCAGGCATACCTAGGAAGAGGGGCCGGCTGGGGCCCCCCGCCTATGCACATGGAATCAACTGCTGTGGGCAGGGCCATTGGGCTGGCCAGCCTCTGCAAGTGGCGGGGCTGCTACCCCTTCTTCGAGGAGCCCCTCTCCAGCGTGTAGACCATGAAGCAGGCATCAGACGGGTCTCTTGGGGACAAGGGGGTGCCCTGTTCTCACAATCTCAAAGCCCAGAAAGTTCAAGGTATGGAACAAGGTGGCTCTGCCATCTCTGTCCCTGTGGAAGCAAACAGACGTGATACACGCAGAGCTGCTTTTTAGTGAACTTTGGGAACACTGCGAGACTGCCTTTGCTCCCCTCGGGGAGGACACCACCTGGCATCTCAGTATAGAGCCTGCTGCCGCTCACTCAGCACAGCCCTCGCCCAAGTTTGGCCTCAGTGAGCCTGGACTAGATGTTAAGAATCCTTGTCTTGTCATTAGACACTAGCTCCTCTGGTACAGTCAGCTGATGATCCGAGTAAAATAACTTGGCTGAAAGATTGCGACCCCTCTAACTATCCCCTGCCTACCTGAGATCTTTGTGGGTGGGTGAGGGGCATCAGGAACACCCCTGAGGCCCTGAACCAGGTTACTACAGCAATGGAGGGGGAACCTGGAATCCCATAGTCTTTTGATTGGGTGTTTAATCTACTGTAATACTACTTGTCAAAAAAAGGTTTCAAACATTAAAAAAAAAGTTTAAATCACATTGGTGTTTTTGCCTGTAATCCTATATAATAATAATATAAAATCTTTTCCTTTATATTTTATGTCAGGTATTTCTCAGCGGGACTACACACAATACTATGATCATATTTTTAAGCAAAAGGAAGAAATTTGCAGATGCATTCAAGACTTTTTCAAGAAGCACATACAATATAAATTCTTAGATGAAGACTGTAAGTACTGTATATTGACCCAGTGACCCTTACTGGACAGTGGTGAATATTTTTAAAGTGGATAAAAAGACTGCAGTTTCAGCAGTTTGCTATTCTTTGGCATAGCTTATCATTTACATGTTAAATTTATTTTATTTCATTAGAGGTGATTTGATTTCTTTGGAAACAGCTCTCTCCTACGATTTCTGATTTTTTTTGCATATTTCAGAAAATCCTTATAGATTGGGGTGTGTCAGTTATGTGATTGAATTAGCTTGCCGAGTGATCTTCCTCTCTAGCGTCTTTAGTTGAACGATCCAACAGAGCAAGGCACAGGGTAAACCGTTGTCCTTTGGTTTTAAGAATTGAACTTATATGAGAGGGCTTCAAAAAGTGTATGGGAATTTTTCATTACCATTTTTCCCCCTTTTTAATGTGAATTGGGTGAAGATTTACAGAGCAGATCAATTTTTAATTCCGTTTCAACCCATTTTATTTCATCTTACCAGTTGCGATTCCTACAATGTAGCATCGTTTGTCACACTTCCTCCCAGGGTCTCCTGTGCCCCTCCTCCTCCTCTCCTAACCCAGCTGAACGTGCCTTTGGGAAGTGCTGCCCTTTTCATCTCAGATGGTTGAGGACTCAAAGATACGGATGTTCTCCTGCTAGGCTTGTGCAGTATTTGCCTAGAAATTGAGTTCAGTTCTGTGTATGAAGAGCGACTTAAGACCATGGTCGTGGAGGTCCCACCAGCCTCTGTCCACCTGTAGTAAGCCTGGCTGTGGGAAAAAATTCCATCATTTTGCCATTGCATTTTTCCATGGCATTTTTGAAGCCCTCTGTGTGTAGAGACTATCTATGGGTCTTAAAATTGCTTATGGTGTATATTTTCTCCACCTGCCAAACCTGGATTGTAGAGCAGATTTGTTGTAAAGGATTACCCATGCCATTAAGCATAGCTGGATTTTATAATTTCCTATGCTAAATTTTACTCATTTCATTCTTCGCGAATTAGGGATGAGTGTTGGCTGTTCCCTTCACTGGTACATTCTCCTCAGGGACAGTTTCCTTTGTTGTTCTTGTGTAGTCCATTTGTCTACAGGGAACTGTTTGAGGTGATTTTAGTATTTGGTTTGAATTTTGAATTGTGAAGGCTTGTGATTTTCGGGCGGGGGGTGGGTCAAAGGGAAGGAGGATCATTAGATATAACATTGCAGATTACTGTTTTATGTTTGAGATTTGGAAACATTAAATCCCCAGATCCATCCATAGTGTTTGTTTAATAATAGAAGACATTTTTATTTTCAAAAATAGACTTAGAGCATGAAATTATTAGTTCATCTGTTTAAAGTGTACTACTTTATTATTAACTTGGAACTTTTTTCCCTTTCAGTTGTATTTGATATATACCGAGACAGTAGGGTAAGTAGAAACCAGATTATATGCTTTAGAATCAGGGTTGATCTCATAAGTCAGCAGAGTACTATTAGTTTGTAAATATCCTGCTGCTCAAAGAATATTTTCTCAGATCAGCTAAAGCCTTGAAATTTATGTGTGAATGTTTTACCGTGGTCCAGAGCCTCCCCTTAAGATATACATGCCCTGAGGCGTGGTGTCTGGGTAGCATGAATGGTTTATGCTCTTTGACATACTTAAAAGTTGGCAGTGCAGACCTACCAAGTGGTGCCAGGGAAGCAAGGCTTGGCAAGCTGCTTCTGTGAAGATTACAGTCAGTGACATGGGACAGTGAGTACCACACAGCCTTAGGGAACGGCCCTCTCTGACACATGACGCCACTGTGATTTGGAGCTGACCAGTTCTCAATGCTGTTTTAAGAATGTGTAATAGTTTAATCAATTACCTTCCGTATGGTTAAGGATTATTTGTTTAACAGATGGTTAAATGGCCACCGTATGTCCTAGTTTGTACTTTTGTGAGAGGTCTGATTAAAATAGTACCGTGTACACACTCAGATGTGGCCAGGAATATGTCGTTTTCTATTTAAACAATCATTTTTAGTCAGCTAACGTGATTCACATTCTTTTTATTTTTAGACCAGAGATGAGGATTAGAACCATTTAAATTTATTCTTTAGACCTGACTCAAAATCAGACTCACTCATAGCGACCCTGTAGGACAGGGTACAACTGCCCCTGTGAGTTTCTCAGACGTCACTCCTTAGGGGAGCAGGAAGCCCCCTGTCCTCTGTGGAGTGGCTGCTGGTTTCAAATCGCTGACCTTGCAATTAGCGGCCCAATGAGTAAGCACTACTCCACCAGGGCTCCTTTTAAACCTCACTAGACAGTCTATCAGGAAAAAGAACATAAAACCATATAAATCTCTCACAGGTCTCTCTCTTACTGTTAAGATCATGTAATTAAAAAAAAAGACATTTAAGTTATTAAATGTTGCTCTCTGAGTAGAGCTCATTGAATTAGCTATTAGGAAGTTGTGTTTCCCAAATAGGTTACTTGTATACCTACAGAATTTACTTATTCTTCTCATAGCAACTTCATTGTAGTAATGCATGTGTATTTTTGAATCATTTTTTTGGACAAAATGATATGGCCCACATGGTCAAATTCTTGAATTGCTGTTAACCTTCACTACGTGTTAAATCATAAGGCATCACTTACTATATTTTTCAAGGTTTTGTTTTCAAGGACAACAGTTTCTGTTAAGCGCTAGAAAAAAGAGGCTATACATCTATACTGGGTTAAGAAGAGGGATGCTTCCTGGCCAACTTTCAGCTTCAGGGAAACAAACCATAGACAACGAATGGGAAACCAGTGTAATGAAATGGCTAGATACTTAAACAAGATTAAACAAGAGGCCAGGGTTCTAGTCCTGGGTTTGCTGCTAAGAGATAGGCATTAGCCAAGTCCCATCACTCATGCAGCCAGAATGTATTGAGTTAAGGATCCCTGGAGGCGCTGTCTGGTAATTGCACTGCTAACCACAAGGTCGGTGGTTTGAACCCATGGAGCACTCCTTGGAAGAAAGATGGTGCCTCCTGCCCCAATATTGACAGTCGTGGAAGACCTATGTAGGGCCGCTGTGAGTGGGAATTGACCTGGTGGCATGAGTTTGTTGGTTTTGTTTTTAATATGTAAGATACTATGCTTCTGACAAGTTTTAACTCACTGCCATTACGTCACTTCTGATCCCTGCCCACCCTGTAGAACTGCCCCTGTGAGTTTCTGAAACTAATTCTTCATAGGAGTAGAAAGCCCCATCATTCTCCTGTGGAGCAGCTGGTGGTTTCGAACTGCAGACCTTGTGGATCACAGCCCAACTCATACCCACCACACCACTAGGGCTCCATAATATGTTTCAAAGAAGATAATATTCTAACCTTCCAAGAGATTACCTTCAAATGGAGAATGACAGAGTTGCAGACATTCCAGGGAATGGCCTGGTGGCCAGAAGGATTGAGTCAGTGAATGAGTAAATACACTTAACCCATTGCCTGAATACGCAGCTCAGAAGAACTCCATTCTCATTGAATTCAGTATCCCCTAAATCCATATATACTAGTCTCATATATGTAATCCATATATACTAGTCTCACCCCCTCACACACCCTCTCCCCCATTTTACACACAGTAAAACTGAGGCAAGAATACTTTATAGTGGCATTTGAAAATTTAGCAATTTTTCACTATTTCCCTAGCAAATGGTAAGAGCTGCTGTAATTCAGTAGGGCTGGGCTGGTAGGTACCAAGGTGTAAGGTGGTGAAAGAATTATATGAATGCTTTTAAGTGAAGTTGGACATGTACATGAGTAATTACTGCTGTGATCTAACTGAACTGAAATTAGCTACATTTCCTGAAAGTGAGAATGCTGCCAGTCTAAACATGGGAGCCGTTCCTAAGAAGAGATGTCTGCCCGGATACAGAGTGCACTTGCATTTGCTCAGTGGCACTTGTACCAGTGCCTGGCACTTTCTTGAATCCATATTTTTGTATGGATTTTTTGGCAATTCCTATAGGAAGTGAACTCTTCTTTTATGATAATCTCCTATATGAAATATAACTGAAATGTATCTGGACTTGGCAAAACGTTGATGTTTCTACTTACTGTGCCTGTGCACATGACTCAGTGTTCATAGATTCTAACCATCTTGTATATGTCAAAGTGGTGACCAACTGGTTTAGTAATTCTGGGGTGTCGTAGCTTCTAAGTGCTGCTTATATCAAGTGTGTGGCTTTAGTGAATAGGAAGTTATTTTCTCGGTTAAGAACTTAGACATCTAAATTCAGGCTGCAAGGTCTGAGGGAAGGATTTCTTTCCCTGTTAGCTCTGAAGAAAGACCTTTGTCTTTTTTCAGCTTCTGGAAAAAATGTTCTCTTAAAAAAAAATCTTTAAAGGCAACGAACAAAAAAAATCTATGTTATAATTTCCAAGTTTTCTGTCTGCCCTGTCAGTTACTGAGCAAGGTATGTTAAAATCTCCTTTATAATTCCGTCAGTTTTTGTTTTACTTCTGGGTTTTATTCTTAGACACATGCTAGTTTGGAATGGTTTAATTTTCTGTCAGTTATCAGGCACAAACCCAGTGGTAAATCATTTGCACATGTATTGTTTCTTGTGTGTGCAAGCCTGTCTATCAGTAAATTACCAGAAACCAGCATTCCTGGGTCAAATGGCAAAACATTTGAGTAGAGAACGTGAATCCGACCCCACTGAGTTCCGTCAGGAGTGAAGGCCAGTACCTGCCTGCGCCCTCAAAGCTCCCCAACAGATGCACTGTCACGTGTTTTGAGGGTTTTGCTTCTCTTTTGTTCCAATTGATTAGAAGTAATGTAAGTTCCGTTTATATTGCTTTTATTTTGCATGAGATTCAAGTTTCCTCTTGTTATATAGTTAGGGTTCATGTTTGTGAACTCTTGCTCGTGGTCTTGCTTGCCCTCAGCAGACAGGAAGGAGCGCTTTCTCTGTGAGAAGGGCGCTGGTGGTTCAGTGGTAGGCGTCTCACCTTCCACGTGGGGGGTCAGGGTTCATTGGGCACAGTGCACCTCAGGTGCAGTCTGCCACAGGAGCTGTGTGATGCCATGATGCTGGACAGCGTGGAAGGAAGACTAGACTACAATAGACTAGGAAGAAAGGCCTGGCGATCCACTTCCAAAATAAAACATGTCAGTCACAGTGGTCCAGTTCTATTGTGCATGTATAGAATTGCTTTGAATTGAGGGCTGACTTAATGGCAGATAAGAATAACACTTATGTGTTATAGAAATTAAGCCTTTTGTGATTATCTCAGCTTGCTCTTAATTCATTATAAGAAATCATATATACTAATAGTTTTTATGGCTTCTGACTATGAATAACAGCCTTAACACACACTCAGCCACCTCTGTGTATTTTTCTTCCTAATTCTTTTATGAGTTCTTGTTTTACATTTAAATCTTTGGCCTAGTTGGTATCTTTATTGATATTAACCCTACGCTGAGCTTTTAGAGAGTTCTCCAACTCCAGTATATATGCATGGCTTGTCACTGGTGATGGTTGTGTGGATTTCTTGGGCAATTAGTCCCATTTGTTGTATTTGTGGACTCTATTCCTTCATGTTGATGGTTCCTACTGGTGTCGTAAATGAATCACTTCTGTTCTTTAGTGAGCTTGCTTTGTTTTTAATTTGTGAGTATCCTAAATTTCTAATGTTCCATTTACTTCTACCTTGATCCCCAAACCCAGTCAGGGAAAGACATGCTTCCTGTGCCCTGTTGCTGCAGACACTGGAATTCCCCCCACCCCGCAGTACTCCTTCTTGATGTGGCAGCCCTCTGAGGTTTGCTTCATGGGTCTCCCCTTTCTACAGGGCAGTCGTTCCTAGCCCTGTGTGTATATTAAGACCCATGCTCCCCTTCTTGGGAAAGAAGCCCTCCTACAGCACACTTAATTCTATCTGTCAGGTCCTTCTTTATTTCTAGAAGGAGCCTAGGTGGTGAGTGGGTTCACTGTTGAGTTGCTAACCACAGGTTGGTAGTTTCAAGCCACGCCCATTCCACAGAAGAAAGATGAGGGCTGATAGCTCCAAACCTACTGGGCTCTAGGTGTCAGACTTGACAGCTTGGGTTGGGTTGGGTTGGGTTACTTTCTTGTTGGCTTTTAGGGATTCTCCTTTTTTCTTGTAACTTCGTATATTCGTCTAAAAGGATTAACCAAACTCCATCCTGTGTAGATCAAAGAGAAAACTCAAACTTGTCGATTCTGACTCATGTGTTAGAGAGTTGAACTGCTCCCTGGGATTTTCATGACTGTGATCTTTCAGAGGCTGATTGTCAGGCCTGTCTTCCAAGGTGCCTCACAATGGGTTTGAACTATCAACCTTTTGGTTAGTGGACCAACACTTGGCATTCCTCAGGTAGCATTTAAGGCCAATGAGTTGCATTCCAACTCACACTGACCTGATTAGATAAAGTGTAATTGCCCCATAAGGTTTCCAAGGCCACAAATCTTCAGTGAATCAGACTGCCACATCTTTCTCCCTCGGAGTGGCTGGTGGATTCAAACTGCCAACCTTTGGGATAATAGCTGAGTGCTTCCCCATTGCTCCTTTAAGGTTACTTTAACCCCAAAGCTCACTGCCACTGAGTCCATTCCAATTCATAGCGACCCTATAATAGGACAGAGTGGAACTTCCCTGTGGGTTTCTGAGATTGTAACTCTCTACAGGAGTAGAACATCTCATCTTTCTCCCAAGGAGCGGCTTGGGGTTTCAAACAGCCGACCTTTTGCTTAGTAGTCCAACATGTAACCCACTACACCACCAGGACTCCTTAAGGTTACCTTGGCTTACCTTAATCCTGGAATCCTCATGTGTTTTACATCCGAGTTGAAATAACCTATTCCTAGAATGGGGTGTCATCTCATGACTAGTGCATGTGCTAGTTTATTGTCATTTTCCCTTGCACTAGTTTGCTCTTTCTATTAGCATCTGCTCTGCTCCTTCCCAGACCATCAAGGCTGTTCTTCAAAGTCCAGTTACCTCAGGGAGCTTTTCCTAGGCACTCCGTGCAGAATTAGTTTGGTTTCTCCATATGCTCCTCTGTAGGTTAGTACTCATTCTTGCCCCTATTGAAGCACTGACCAGTCTACTGTAGTACTTGAGGGTTTTTTCCTTCTGTTTCATGGGGGAGGGAGGTATTCTGTTCTAGACTGAGCTCTTGAAAGGAGTAGATGTGTTATTGCCCTTTATACCCTAGTGCCTAGCAGTGTCTGATTCATAGAGACTTGTGTGAGTAGATGGGCATCAGGATGTCAGTTAGTGTGTTAGGCTGAGTTCTCTAGAGAAGCAAACCCAGTAAGCTTGTATGCATGTGTGTATAGAAAGAGCTTTATATCAAGAAAGAACTCACCCACCGAGTTGTAGAAGTGGGTAAGTCCAGTCCATTCTGTGGGTCAGATGGAACGCTTCTGACTCATGTAGCTGCCGGCCTGACAAACTAGGAAGCAGGACATAGGCTGGTAGGTGTAAGGGTGACTGAAACCCTGATGTCTCCAGGATCAGCAGGAAGTCAAAGAACCAGGTGCCAGAAGTAAAATGGCCACGGAGTCAACTTCAAAAGGAGCCAGCACACTGTGAAGAGCCTTTTTCTGATCGTCTCAAGGCTGTGACCTAATCAAAGGGCTTCAGCCCACCACAGCTGCTGGCTGCTCACAGTGTGTTGATTACGTTAGACTGGATCCAATCATAGTGTTGATTATGTTGTATTATCCCATCATGTGGGATTATCGCCAAGCCACAGGGCCCTGGCCCAGCCAAGTAGACCCAAATTTAACTCTCACAGTTGGTCAGTTGATTGATAGATCTTAGGAGTTACTACCTGATGGATTGCCCCAAAACAGAGTTTTGTTGGCAGTCTTATGTCTGAGAGGTCACATGAAAAATAATATTAGAGCTATAAAAGCCTGATCTTTATAGTTTTATACCAGATTACAGCTAGTTTGTTTCTGTGTTCTGATTTGTCTGGACTAGAGGATAGTTCTTAAGGTACAGAATAAACTATCAGCTATCAGTCCTAACAGTGATGATTTATTTTCATTTTTTTTCCTAGTGTGGCTTAGTTGCTGTGTATAGAGTGCATTATTCCTTTAATAACAGGTGGTATCTTTTAATAATGACCCCCCCTCCCGTTTCTGTCAATCATGGACTGGTCTTACAAAATCACGTAGAAAGGATTTTTTATGACAATACATCCATTTTGTTAAAATAACGGACAGTATATCACCAGTAGCTTAGAAATAGTCCCCAAACAAAGCTGACGGTGAACCAAGAAGTTGATTGATGATCACTACTGTTTCACATAGTTTAGGAATGTCGACGTGGATGCTGACTTGACATGAGGAAGCGACTCCAGCGACAAGAGATGTTCCAGGCTTTCTCTCGGGTGCTGTGTGAACTAAAACCTTCTCCTTTGCTGCTTACTAGGTGTTCCTGATTTTTAAGCAAATCCTGATTTTTTTTTAATCTTAAAATTTTACTAAAATGTAGGTGAGTAAGACAGTGTTGGATATTAGTGATGCTGCCTAGTTCCTTCCAACCCACCCATTGCCATCAACACAAAACTGACTCATAGCAACCCCGCAGAGGGCTTAAGAGGCCGTGAATCTCTACAGGAACTGCTCACTTCGACCTTCTTCCTCAGGGAGGCTGGCGGGTTCGAACCACTGATCTTGTGCTTAGCATCCCAACCCCTTATCCAACTGCACCACCGGGGCTTCTCACCTAGTTCCTTAGGCATATGGATTGTTTACACACACACATCAGATCAAGAACCATTATAAATGTATAGAAAACATAGGGGTTAATTGTAAACAAGAAACTACTGTAACTATTTGAATGGCTCTATCAGAAAAACCGGTGGAATGAAGATAAAAAATTCAAAGAAACGTTAAACTACTACGTTAACTACTTAGATCTCGGCACTCAAATATGTTGGGTTTAATTTCATGGCAGGATCTCAGAGCCTCCCAGCTCTGTTCTGCCAGTACTGGGTCAGTTTACACTGTGTCACCTGACTGCTAACTGAAGGGTCAGTGGATCGAACCCATCATCCGCTCCTGTAAATATGGACAGTGTCAGAGACCCTACGTTGGGTAGCGAGGAGTTGGAATCCACTTGATGGCAGAGGGCCCCGATTTAGGTTTGCTCTCAGAATAGGAGCAGATAGAAATTTCTCTCACACCTTTATATATTGTTTAAATCTCTCCTTCATATGCTTTTAAGCTGTGTACCATACATACAAAATAAAGCTACATTAAAATTCAAAAGAAAAGTGAGCGTTTCCATCTATTTTTGATATGTTGAAAACACCAGGCCGTCCTGCACAGCAGCCATTCAGGAGTTACAAGAGTCACTCCCCAAGGACTGCGGCCATCTGCCTAACCTCTGCCTGCTTCCTGGTGAAAGTACAGTGAACACGCTTTTGAAATCTGTTCAATCATACTGCTTTTTCCCCCCTTGCTTTACACATGGCCATCAGGGTAATTCAGCCTCATAGAGACCTGGTAAGACAGAGGAAAACTGCCCAGAGGGTTTCCAAGACTGTAATCTTTACAGAAACAGACTGCTGTAGATTTTCTGCCCAGGAGCAACCGGTGGCTTTGAACTGTCAGCCTTTTGAGTAGAAACTGAGCACTTAACCGTGGCACCACCAGGATGCCTTTCAGTTGTCCTATTTTGGGTGAACTTCTCTCTGAGCTGTTCTGTGTCCTCCTCCCTTGTATTTTTTGCCTAACATTTCAGTGTGAGCAGAGGGAGAGTTAGAATCTCATTCCTCTGGGGCTTTTCCTTAGCAGGCTGCCTTCTCTCAGCTAGGACTTAGAGGAAACACCTTCTGAAATTAGATTCTCTTTGGGGACAAATGGGCTGAAGAGTATCTTTTTGATAAAGAATGACTCCAGACTTTAAATACTAATTTTTAATTTATTCTTTGTGATTTTTTCTCTTCTACATTACAGGGAAAGGTGTGGCTAATCGATTTTAACCCTTTTGGCGAAGTAACAGATTCACTGCTGTTTACTTGGGAAGAACTGATATCCGGGAAAAACTTGAAAGCTGACGTTAGTGAAGGGGACGCCCTGGAGCAGGTGAGACCCTTTAAAAACATAGGAGACATACATTCAGTTCAGTTAAGTTATTGCCTGCTTGTTCTTGGAGAGGCATGGTAGTGTAACAGAGATTACTGTTAGTTTCTGCCCAGGCGGGTGATCAAAAGAGGGTGTACATTCCGATTCACTCAGCCAGCCTCGAGTAGAAAAACTCTGACCATTTGGTGCATTGTCAAGGTGATTTTTTTCTCATGGCTTCATCTGCCACCCACCTGGAAGAATCTCCATTGCACATCAAGCCCTACTGTCTGTTTCGTTGGACCCCAGCCCTAGGCCACCAAACCCTGAGAGGGTACATAGCCCAGTTGCACATGTCTTCTCACATGTGTGGCCTCTGTTTTCAAGTGGGCCTTTAATGTTTAACTTCCCTACCCTGGGAGTATTCAGCTTCACTCATCAACTTTTCAGGAGCCCTGGTGGCGTTGTGGTTACTCATTGGGTTGCTAACTGCAAAGTCAGCAGTTCGAAATCTGAAGCCGCTCCATGGGAGAAAGACAGGGCTTTCTACTCCCCTAGTTACAGTCTCAGAAACCCTCAGGGCAGTTCTCCCTGTCCAACAGGGTGGCCAGGAGTCAGCATTGACTCTGGCTGTGAATCAACTTTGTCCTTCATTGTCCACCCTTCTCAAATCTTCTATGCCACCAGCCTTTACCTTTTCTCAGCTGATTCTTTCGCTTCCTGCTTTAGAAGGACAGAAAATGTGTTGATGAAAATTCATTCC